ACGACCCCGCGGATAGTCCTGTTTGTTCTATCCCCTGTGTCCACTGTGGTATGATCCTGGGGAGGTACTTCTGGTTGTGTCAACGAAATTGTAGGAAGAGGATGTCTCTGTGTCGGCTCTGGGGCCTCTGTTGATTGTACAGTATCGTTTGAAAGCTCCATTCGGTTCGACATATCGTTGACTGAAATTGCTATCAGATATTCAGCTACGTGTGCGCTAGTCTCAGCTGACTTAGCTGATCGACGAAATAATACGAAATTGGAAGCTCGCCTACCTCAACGTACCGCTTATAAACCGGTCTTGATACAGTAAACATTCGAACCGCGTCAAATTATCATAACTCATCACAATGGATTGATACTATGTCCTCCTCTCATGTCGTTCTCCACCTCGCTAACGACCTCGTAAACGACTACCTCATATTTGTAATCTTATCCTGTGAAGTCTTCCACTCCATAAATCTAGACATCTCCCTGCGGCCTGAAGTCTGGCCGGGAGGTCCTCCATTCATTCACTAGAAGAACGTGACTTGCGACGACTTGGGTATTCTGGATCGCTCCACATCTTAAGTGATCGTACTACATCTTGTTGGAGTATGAAACAGGTACGTAAGTTGGAATTGATGTGAGAAGACACGAAAGTCTGGATTTTTGATATAACTGGAAGAGGGGTTGGAGAAAGGCGGAGATGGAGAGATTGATAGATTATATAATCTAAGGTTGGGGAAGATATTGGAGTGGGAAAGACGGAGTATATAGCCGTTTAGTGGAAGATTGTAACGTACTTCACCGAATTTTCGAGTAAGTAGGAGTAGTAGTGAGTGAAGGAAGATGTAGAGAATAGACGTTTTGATGGTAGTCATGATGTGGAAATCTCGTAACACCAAAGGGGTATAAGGCACAAGGCAAACGTCTTCCCGTGCGCCGGTCTAAAGTCTACAGGCGTATTTTTACTCGTACATATGTACTTCAACGCTTCACTCAAACATCATGCATCGATTCCATGTCTCTCAACCTAGCAAGGTTTATCATTCCTCTCACTCTGATGAGATGTACCAGTAAATAGTCATGTGACTATTCCAGATAACTCTTCTTCATCTCTCCGTCTTCGGAGAACTTACGTTGGTCATGACCGGAGCTCAAGTTGCCGATTTTGACCCAAGAATCATCGTCCGGATCTCCACCTTCAGACTGAGGAGCAAGTGTCGAAGTCTCAGAGACACCGTCATCTTGGGGTGGGCGCGGGTAGCTACCTGTTCTCGACGGGAAAGGCGGCCTTGTAGAGACGGCGCTGGGAGGTGCTGTTTTCTTTGAACAAGGTCTAGAGATAGTCTTCTTCGTCTTTCCCGAAAGATCCCCCTTTGACCGATATATCTCCTGTTGAGCAGGTCTTCTATATGATCAGCGTATCCTTCTAAGACATGTCAAGAGAAGGGTTACGGACTGGAAACCCATGTAAGGCAAATTTTCTTTAAACTGGTCTTCCTCAGGAAACACAAGAAGGGGGTGAGAACCAACTGTGTGGAAAGTGAGTGGAACAAGTCTCCCATCAGCCGCCCACATGACTGGATAAACACTTCTAATAGCCGCCGCTTGACTCTCTGGTGTGTAACGGGTATTTTCTACCAAAGTAGATGAAGGGATTGGCTCAGGAACATCAGAGTCCAGTGTGACATTCAATCTTTCTGACATCTTGAGTAGTTTTAGATAACTCGTATAGTCAAGTTGATGATTCGTATGAAGATAAGGAGGGAGAAAACTCCATTTGATCTGGGTTTTATTATAGAAGTTGGAGTGGAAATCTTATTCACATTGAAGGAACTTGGTTCGTACTCCGCCGGTGAACGGACGAGATCCGTCCGAGATAGATTTGATCCTCTTTTATACTTCTCATATGATCGATATAAGCTGGGTTCCAATCCGTCATGGGAAGTTAGATGAAACTCGAGGTCTCGGCGTCATGAAGATCGTATATGTGGGAGAGGAGGATTAGATTGGACATTGATAGGAAGGTATCAAAATGGAGTTTGATAGAAAGTTACCAAAAAGAAGTTTTGTGTTCTGTTTTGTGGTGGTGGATCTAGGGCACGCCCGAGAGGGATTGACGGAATGAGCCATGCAACATATGGGCAGACCGGCCGGACAAGGGTTTGATGGTACCCATGACGCAGGTAGATTGTGTAAGATAGTGAGATAGTGAGATAATGTGAATATCGTCGGGGAGACGTGGAACAGAAGAGACGATGATCCAATCTCACTCACCGAGCATAATCTCGTCTCGCCCTCGACCTGCTTAGACACCCTTAGTGGGTCCATGACACATAAATTCCTCTCAGTATTGGCATGTGCTACTGTCCGATCCAAGATGAAACAATAGTCCTCACGTCTCCATGTAGTCCACAATTTGAAACAAGTCACCGGTCAGACCCCATTCCGATTTGTAAATATGGTGTTACTCTGACAAGCCGGGAAGGTCAATGTCCCTGCTTACCCAGGATCTATCATGAGGTCAGAGATGTTGGGATAGAATCACACGTAAACCAAGTAAAGTGCATCAACGCTACGGGCCGTATATGCATAAGGAAAAGAAAATTTGTTCCGCATCCTCTCGCGTTTCCCACTGTAAGACACATTCAGGTGAAGGTTACTGAGGGTTGGATGATATAACTAACAGGTATACTCTCAGATTGTGTGGGATATGAGGGAGTGACAGTCTCCACACTAGTTGAGCTTCGCTGACTCAGAATCAAATCCGACTCAGTCAGGTCCGACAGTGGGTATCGAGTTGAAGGTTCTCGTCTCCTTGCTGCTGGTCCCTCCAATCGCTCACTAGTGGCAGCTCCGTTCTCGTCAGCAACAGAATCTCCACCAGACTCATCCTTCACTACTGAGTCATCTACCACCATATCATCATCCTCCACCACATCGTCCCCCACATTATCTGCAGAATCTTGGTAAACAGCAAAGACATAAGGATACTCGTCACGAATGCCAGGACCAGAACAACACTCCCCCAGTGGGCTGGGGGTGAAAACTTTTGTCCCTGATTTCGGCATTGATGGTCGATTGACTGGTAGGCTAGCTGAGCTGACAAGTGAAACACGACGACGATCATTTCGGTCTAGTTCGATACTGGAGGTGTGGGATGGTACGGATAGGTTATTGGTGGAAAGGGACGACGACATCGGTGTTAGCTATGATGAGGGAGCTAGAGGTGGAAGAGATATATTTCCTTCAACCTATGTGGTATATAGAAGACATGGAGGCTGTGTGACCAAAATACGTCGCCACCACCCGTGGGAAACCCGAACGTATGAAAGGAAAGAAGGATTCAGTCAACAACTCGGCCGTGAGGGGGAGGGGAGAGGGAAATCGACGGATTCCGACGGAGTTTCATCTTTCTAGGGACCATCACGGACCTTGCTTTCGAATCAGGACTGATGAGAAAAGCGGGTCGGACTCAGAGCGAGCGGTTCCACCCGGACTGCCCCTAAGGGAAATTGCACGTCGCATTGATCTCGCTAAGGTGTGAGAAGGATTGGCAACGCGTTTCTGCCACAAATGTCAAAAGTGCCACACTTTCATGGCCACGTGGGGAGTGGAGGTCCGAACGTTGTGGAGGCCCGGTCAGACTTCGGTGACCGAGTAACCGAACACTCCACTTTGCATATCCTCCACCATCTCATCGTTCACCAAAAAGAATATAAACAGCTCCCATCGAGCACCATTCTCCCATTCACACCTATCTTTCCATTCTATCCGACTTTTGAAGCTTGACAGACACTCTTAATACACATACACAACCATGGCACCCCCTCATGTTGAACTAGCTGGGAAAGACGTAGGTCGGATCGGTTACGGTCTCATGCAACTCACTTGGACACCTAAACCTGTCCCGGAGGAAGAGAGTTTTGCAGCTATGAAGTGAGTCATATTTTTTGGTTATGTCCCATTGCTCGGTAGCTGCTATGATGCCACATCATGTGGTACTGGATACTGTATGAGAGGTATGCTGATTGGTAGGGCCGCAGCTGATAACGGTTGTGTCGCTTGGTCTACGGCGACTTTTTATGGTAACCCAGGACATCATCTTGATAACTTGACGCTTATTGGTAAATTCTTCAAGAAGGTGAGTTTTCTTTCTTCCCATCTTTTCATCTCTTCACTTCAATAGGTCCTCACCGATCCTTCATCTTACCTCTCATCATTCTCATCTTGCCTCTCATCTACGTCTCTCACGCTCTGATAACACTTCCTTGGACCACATCACTGTCTCATCCCACACAATGGTCTAGGACCGAATGATAGCCTTGATACAGTAATCAAAAGTGATAGATCCCTGACCCGCAGTACCCGGAATATTCCTCTCGCGTCGTCATCGTCTGTAAAGGTGGTTCCGATGAAAACATACGTCCGGTCAAAGAGAACAGACTTGATTTTTATCGAAACGATTTGAAAAACATCAATTCTTTACTCGGTCGTACGGTTGATGTATACTCGGTGGCACGATTACCACCTGGTATTCCTATCGAAGAAGTTTTTGCCGATCTTAAGGTTTTGAAAGATGAAGGATTGTGTAAAGAGATTGGTGCGAGTGAGATGAGTGCGCCAAGTTTGGAAAAAGCTAACAAGGTGTGTTTTAGTTTTAGTTCCCTTCCATCACTTTCTTCTAGACATATCTTTCTCCACACTTTCTCCACGCTTTCTCTCATCTTCTCTCCCTCTTTCCTCTTTCCCCTCACTTTTCATTTCTTTTACCCTTTACCCTTTTCCCCTTCCACCCATTCCTTTCTTTTGTATGGTCGATAAGATTGTAGCTATCGTGGAAAACGGCGGACAGAGGATATCTTATTGCTGTCAAGTAGAAAAGAAAGCAAACACTGAATGTGAAGATTGTACCTATTAAAATCGTCGAAATCGAAGTTTCCCTCTGGTCATGGGATACAGTCATTCAAGATGCAGTCAAATGGTGTGGTGATCACAAAGTACCAATCTTCTGTTATTCACCTCTCGGAAGAGGATTCATAATTCGAAAATTCAAAACTCCAGAAGATATTCCAGACGGTTCGTTTCAAAAATATCTACCTAGGTTTCAAGGTGAAGCATTTTATGAAAACCTTAAATTGGTTGATCAACTTGATGAGTCTGCTGAAAAAGCTGGAGTGACGACTGGTCAATTGGCATTAGCTTGGATTTTGAGTTTGAACGATTATGTGAGTTTTTGTAACATCACCTGGTTTCTATTTGATCCCTTCTTCTTCTCCCTTTCCACCCGACTCCACCTCCCCATCATATTCAGGACGTCATGTTCGTTTTGCCTAGGGCAAGTGACAGTAGAGGTGAGAGGTCGTCAAGGGCGTTGCATGGTACTTGGTAGATTGTTGAGAGAGAAGGGAGAAAGTAAAATTGATAAGATAGACTATCCCAATTCCAGGTTCTTCAAACCCAAGTCGTATAACGGAAAACGCCGCTGCTGCGAATATCACCTTGTCCGAAGAAGACAAGAAAACTTTGAATAGCACTTTGGCCAAGTTTGATCCTAAAGGAGGTAGATACCCCGATTTCATGAAGGGTTTGCAAATGCAATAATCTTGTGAATCATCGAGAACGGGGGGTTATGGTAGTATGACTGGAGGATAAATACAAGGAAATACTGTATACAGATGGGATGGTCAAAGAAAGATGCACAGAATATTATTTGTTTATTGATCTCGAACAAGAAAAAAACGTCAGACATTAAATATCATGCTTACACACAAAAACAAACCTCTAATCTATTCTATGGGTATGAGAAAAATCATTCCGGACCGATCATGTGACGAAGACGAAGACATAGAGGTGATCAGTCGCTGTCAGTGTCGGGTTCCCTTTCGCCTACTTTGGTCAGCTCAAAGAATGACATTCCACCATTAAAATTTAGATCGGCGACAGAAGATTCCACGTGAATTTTTTGGGGGGAGAATATATGTTGAAGGGTGAAAGGTCGAGTAAAGAGCATAGGACTCACCTCCATAAGAGAGCCATTTGAGTTTCCTCGCTTTACGTCTATCCTCCTGAGCTTTCAATTGATTCCTCGTCATCTGTACATCAGTTGCAGCTCTCAAGTGAGTATCAATCGTCTCTCCCTTCCACCTTTACATCCCCCGAAAGAAATAATCCACTGAAAATGAGAAGGAAAAGGACTCGTCATCGTGGTAGACAGGGAAGATGTGCCAGGAACATGATTAAAATGATGTGAATGAAACCTATCCCAGTTCGAAAACACAAGTCAAACAACTCACCTTCTTCTTCTTTCCCAATTTGGCAACACCATCCGTAACTTCATCCACCCCAGAGTTCGCCGCGCTGGCCTCATTACTAGGTGTAGCACTGACCAACAAAGGTGTTCCCGCTCTAGGTGTCCCGGCTTTTGACACGGTCCTAGATCCAGGACGAGAAGGATCGTCAAAGGCATCCTCCACCAAAGATACTTTACCTTTGGCGGTAAGTTCACCACCGTCGACATTCCAGATTTCGGGACAGAGGGCGGAGACGAATTCTGTAGAATGAGAGATGATGCAAACTGCTCCTGCCCATTCTTTGATGGCTACTGCGAGACCTCTGGAGAGTCAGTGATCAGTTCGTTCTCCTTATGAAGTCAAAAGATTTGTAGAGATTATGCCGTCAAAGTGATGCTCCTGGTGTTATCAGGAGGAAGGGGGAGATTGAAATATAGACTCGGTGAAAGAGGTGAACAGACACTCGACTGATATGTGAGAACGACGGGGAGAGAAGCTGGGTGGTAGACGAATGAAGATGAGATATACCACCCACCCAAGTGCTTCTCGATCCAAGAAATTAGTAGGTTCGTCCAAAAACAGACATTGAGGTCGATTGAACATAGCGGCAGCAATGACCACTTTGACCTTTTGTCCACCGCTCAAACCCTGTATCTCGTTGTACTGTGCGATATCCCCATCCAACCCGACAGCTTCTAAGATTTCTCGGACGGCAATGGCAGAGGTATCACGCATCCCGGCACCTTCACGAGAAGATTCCATATCGTCAAATCGACCGACGAGCTTGCCGAAACCTTTTTCGAGGAGTAATTCACGGGGTAACCATGCGTTGTGCTGATCGTCAGAATCAGATCAATTGTCACAATCATAGCAGGTAGCACGTCGTCGGGGCACGCTTGAGTAGGGACAGAAAACATGGCCGGGAGAAATCAGAGCAAGGACGCATTCTGCAAAGGTCGGATGGGGTTAAGGAGGACAACTGAAGCGATGCGGATACGTTCTTGTAAAGGATAAAGAAAGGACCGAAGCGGATGAGGAGGGAGAAGAAGTGATGACCCACACGATGATCCAATCCCTTAAACTTCACTTCATACTGGAAACTCTTCTTCAACTTTTGTCTACCCAAGATAAATTCAATCTTCCTCAATTCACCATTCTTGCCCTCGATAGGTTTGTCCATCATAGCGATATCTTCATCCGTGAGCACCCGAGTGGCCTTTTCCATCATCTCGCGATCGTGACCATCCTGGTATCTCCATTGACTGTTTGTCAGTTTCGTCCCGTGCAGATATGCAACCTATTCTAGCTATTTGTCAAAACAAAGTATCGACAGGTTCCACACGGATTAAGCGATGGTGTGGTAGATGGGCAATTGTGAGGGCGTCTGTAGTCCGACACGATGAAGCCGACGATACAGCCAATGACATATGTGCGGAGACAGAATAACTAGCGAAATCGGATGGAAATCTACTGACATATATTGAACCGCCGTTTTGGTCAGATGTTGATTGATATGATGAAAAGCATGTTGAGCCACATATCCAACCCTCAATGCTGGATGCTTGCTCACGGCTCCTTCTTGAGGGACCACCTCACCCAACATCACTTTGATCAACGTACTTTTTCCCGCTCCGTTTGGTCCTAATATTCCTACACGACTAGACAAGCTCAAGCTACAACTGACATTTTTCAAACTGGGCTTACTTGCTCCTGGATATGTGAATGTACAATTGGAAATTTTCATGATAGCACGAGTGTTGCTTCTGACTCCTACGAGATTACCGGGGGGAGGGAAAGAGAACTTGATGCTGGTGGCCGCAAGGGTGTAGTACGATTTAGCAGCGGGTACTTTCTCGACGAACTTTGATAAATTACCAGGGTAGTAAGCCAACTTCTTGTCTTCGTAATGAATGATATCGGTACAAACATTGTCGAGAAATCCAGAGTCATGGGATACGATGAGATTGGTAATATCCATTGATGTGAGATATTTTTCGAGCCATGCGACGGTTTGAACGTCAAGGTGATTGGTAGGTTCGTCGAGAAGAAGAATGTCGGCACCGATCAGCATGGCACGGGCCAGTTCAAGCTTCATCTTCCAACCTCCTGAGAGAGAGGCGACGGGGTCGTTTTGCTTCTCTTCGGAGAACCCGACGGAAAGCAGCATGGCGGCTATTTCTGAATGGGTTTTATGAGATAATTTAGGATCGGCGGCGATGAAGTCGATGATGGTCATTGAGGTGTCTTCGCCCTGTAAAGCGTGCTCAACCATGACACAACGGAGTTGATCCTGCGGAGGGAAGCCCTCGACCTGCAGTCAGCGTCGAAGAACGAGAAATGAGACGATGGGTGAATGAATGACGGAGAGGGATTGTGAAGGGCTGACCAATACTCACTTTTCCATCCCTGATAGCCTTCATAAGCGTACTCTTACCCGCACCATTGGCAGCACAGATACCATATCTTCGACCTTTGCGAAGCTTCAAACTTGTATGATTGAGCAATAACAGCCCTCCGTAAGCCAAAGAGAACTGAATGTCACACAGTAATTCCCCTTCTGAACCATCATCGACCGCATCTGGGGCATAACGCTGTTTGTCGATGTCCATAAACGCCTTTCTGACCGCCTGGGTAGCTACGGAACCTTCTTCCGTACCAAGAAGAAGCTTCATGAAACCTCCCAATCCATTCTTCTCCCATATACTTTCGTCCCACCTTCTTAGGTCGACAATATCAGCGACAACATTAGCCTGATACTCGATGGCCTGAGCGATGAGTAGCGCATTGGGCAAAGACGCCGCGAGAGGGATAGAAGGATGCGAGGGGAGCTCGGAGATGTGTAAGTGTGGGACCATCACGGTCAAGGCTTCGGTGACGGAGAGAGGAATGTCACGGGGAGGCAAAGGGGTGGCAGTGGCCGATGCGCCGGCTTGAGTGAGGATATCAAGAGCGGTTTGGGCAAAAGCACGAATTTCGGGGAAAGCGGCACCAATGGCAATCTGTTCTACACCTCTGACGAGGGGAGAGAGATATCTTGCCGCCACAGTGGGATCACGCACGAGCTTGACGAGATTACCAATGACCACACATGTCATTCGTTGAGTATCGGTGGAGCGTTCTTTCAACGCACGAATGAGAAGAGGAACGAGGACAGCCAGAGTAGGTGCGTTGACCTCTGCGACAAATGTTGTGGATGATAGTCCCTTGATGGTGGTCGGGACAGCGGCAGGGGAGGCCATGGCCGATACTAGGGCGGAGACATGTTTGAGGACGTCAGGATTTGGGAGGGTGGTACACAATGTCGTGGCACATTTGACAGCGGCGGCGGATACCTAGATGGTCAGCTCTGTTCGAAAGGCACCAGGTATATGCTGAAGGAGCTGACCTCTTGTTTGGTGTCATGCATGGCATGTTCCACAAAAGGGATGACATGTCCCAATTCAAAAGCAACCCATTCTTCCGCACCTGGCTTGACGAGACTTTCCATAGCTTTGAGTGCTGATACTTTACTTCTCCATCCTTTAGCGTCGTCTAAAGTTTTACAAAGTACTTCCATTGCCACACGTGTTCCTTCAGAAGGGGTAATCTTTAGCAAAGCGTTTATCGCACTGGTCACCGCTGAACGTACTTGCTGACCTTTATCCATTGAGAGTGCCAAAAGAGTAGGAATGAGAGGAAGGAAAACACCTTCTACTCCAGTACCGAGAGAACGACATATTCTTTCCACCAATACTGGGGCAGATTCTCGTTCGTGACCAGAAGGAGAATTTGTCCAAAGTTGCACAACGTCAATAATTCGAGCATCTTGGATAGCGTCAAGGGAACGAGGTGCTTTTTTGAGTGTAAGAGCTATTGCGTCGGCGATAGATTTGGCCTCTGTATTTGAAGATGCTGATGCGAGCTTTATGAGTTGATCAGACAAGGTGGAAGGAGGAAGTGGGGAAAGTTGAGGGTGACCGTTGGCTACGGGGGACATGATGCACGTGTGGCGGTGTTAAGCTGAAGGGTGGGAACAAGAGTATATCTGCCAGTTTTTGACAGATGTATGGAAAGAAGATGAGTGAGTGGAGAGTGAGATATCTCGCCTTGTCGGAGTGACAAGATGATACAGTATGTATGAGAAAGAGGAAGGATGGATGGGGAAGAAGCACAATGGGAAACTCAAGACGTCGCGCTTTTTTGAAAAAAAAAGTTGCATCGATCTATGAGCTGTATCAGATTTATTTAAATTTGCCACCCATTTAAAGCCACATCATTCAACTTGGTCATTTGGTGGGAAGACAAGACAGGCGCGTGGCTGGCAAACCCTATCCCCCCCACTCTCACTACTTTTCATCTTACACATATACACGTATAATCTTTGTAAAACACAGTCAGCGACCGACCATCTTGGCGAATCTCAACCACGCAATATCAACCCATAGACGAAGGATAGACACGATACCAAGTGCATGGCGCGGACCATTTCCAGTCCACAAAGAGGAGGAGGTAGGCCGTCTACCGAGATGGCAGTTCCGGTCGGGGGACCGAGGCGCGTCATTAATACAGCTAGGAAGAGTACGGGAGGTAAAGCTCCCAGGCGGATATGTGAGTGGTGTTTTTCCTTTCTTTATCCACCCTGTCATATTTTCTTCCTTTCCTACACCAACAGTCCCTCTGTAGTTCAACGAACCCTCTGTGGCAGGTTCAATACAAACACGCCGAGTTATCCGTCACAACATTGCACAAAGGGTTTCGTATAATGACCCAAATGAATGTTTTAGATGTTAGTGTGGAAACCTAGGGGGAAAAGTGAATATGGATACGAAAGCTGATATTTAGCGGAAGTACAACCAGAAAAAGAAACGCCAAAGAAGAGACATCGGTTTAGACCTGGGACTGTAGCATTGAGAGAGATTAGGAAATATCAAAAATCAACAGATTTGTTAATAGCAAAATTACCATTTAGCAGAGTTGTGAGTATTCGTATTCATCTCATCACCATTTCCTTCCTTCTTATTCCTTTAGATTCCTGGATCATCTGTCATTCACTTCAGTTTTGGTACGGACATTGAAAGTTGACAATCAGGTCAGAGAAGTCACATTAGATATGGGTTCAGCAGCAGCTGGTGATCTTCGATGGGTAAGTGTTCTTTTCTCTATCTCCCACTCCGTTTTCTCCGCTTCATTCTAGATCGGTCTTTAGGGGTATTTCCTAGCTCTCTTTGATGGTGAAGGTATATACTGATTGACCAGCAATCAAGTGCTATAATGGCATTACAGGAAGCGGCAGAGGCGTATTTGGTTCATTTGTTTGAGGATGCGTGAGTTGTATTTTCCATCTCCGGAATCTTTCCTTTCCTGTAGCAAAATCACCATTCACGGGTTCGTACAGCACTCGACCACTTGTTTGAAGGGAAGTAGGAAACCCCGAAAGATTGAATATCCCTCGCGGGGTAATTGAGAGGAGTGAAGAAAGAGAAATCTAGAACATCGACAAATGATTATGTCCGGTTGACCGCGTTGATGTTCGCTGTCATATGGAGGGTCAATATCACACTGAAACTCGAATTACAACATAAGAGCTGGGACATTGTCTTCGCTCAGGTTATCACACTGTTAGGAAAGAACAAAGATTTGGGGTCATTTCGATGAGGTGGGAAAGCTAACGTCAAGAAATCTCTGCGCCATCCACGCTAAAAGAGTCACCATCATGCAAAAAGACATTCAACTAGCAAGAAGGATCAGAGGTCCTTGGGCAGGTTTAGGATGAATATTCTTTGAATCCTTCCTTCATCTTATGTGGTTCCCTTACATAATCCAACTCATTCGAACTCCGCCACATATCAACCTTGTTCCTCTTCCCTCTCATTCCGAATCTTTCTGCTAAAGGGCGACCATCTTGTCCCCTTCCTCCTTCTCATATCTCACTCGACGACAAACGACTTATCTATATTGGCATTCTTGAACCCTTGCCTCTTTTCCTCTTTTCCAAATTCTCCACATCATCAATCTCGTTCCTTTCCTTTCCTTTTCAAGTCTTACTCAACGGGAAGACGTCGGGGTCAATTGAGACGTTAAAAAATACCATTTGACTGCATCTCAGGGTCGCACGAGGTTTCGTCAAGGGGATACTAAGGTTGTGTATGATGTTGTCAAGTTTTGGATGCCAACATGACAGAGGGGCACGAATGGATTGAGAGATTTGTTTTTGAAATATTTTGGATTTTTGAAATGACGACGATAAGTGAAGATGATAAAGGGAAGAAGAAAAGGAGGAGATCTATAGGAAGCTAAAAATTTGGATACCCTCTCGTGAGAAATTTGAACTTTATCATGATACATTTTCTATGCACAAATCTATGTCATCTACTTTTAAGAAAATCTAAACAGATCTCTTTTACAATGGATAATTCTTCCCGATCGACCTCCCTTCCTCATTCAAACTTCTTCAAATGAACAAAAATATGTGAACGGTTGAGCGATTGAGCAACGATTCATTGAATAGAAGTTTTAACCTCTTTCCATCCTTTTCTTTCAAAACAAGCAAAAACCAAATCATATCCATCAAACTCATATCCTATCCTATCTTTTCTTTCGTATGTTTCTCCCAATAGATTAGACCCAAAAGCGTTCCAAGCTCTTTGTTCAGCTTCTGAACCCGGTCCGAAAGACGTAGGAGTGGAAACGAAGAGGGTTATACTGAGACGAAAAGGTTGAAAGATGTTTACGACTGTTCGAATGAGTTGAGGTAAAGTCGGTCGAGTGGAATTATGGTTTCCGGATTTGTTCACTGGTGTGATAGGTGTTGAAGGAGAAGAAGAAGAAGGAGATGAGTCAGAAGGAAGAGGAACGTTACATTCGAAAGAAGCGTATGACCAACCTTCTTCAGGAGTCACGTGAATTGTGAAATAACCTCCTGGTTGATCTTTTTCAGACGATCCGGAAATCTTCTTTTTGGTGCAAGTGGAAGGAAAAGGTGATCCGGAACCTATCACTCCATTTGCAGAATATCCACATGGTGTGAAACCGAATGAATCTAGTGTGGTTTCGTCTGGGAATATCCGATCGATTCCTAATTGTTTCGAAATGGTTTTACCGAGTTCATGTCCGTTTACTTCTTCCGAATCGTCCATCTGACCAGAAGGTGTGGAAGAGGGGTTAGAAGAGGTGGAAGGGAAAGAAGAAGAGAAGAAAGGTGAACGGGCTTGGGGAGAAAGATGAGTCATGAGGATTTCCAAAGTCGTATCTTGATACAAAGAAGGAATGTATTGACCGGGAGAAGGTAGTGATGGGATATAAGTGGAAGAAAGAGCTTCGTCGCCGGGTAGCATTGGGTGAGAATTAGGAGAGGTTAGGTATAGAAGCCAATGATCGCGGTTCATAGGACCGACAGTATAGGCTGAACCGACCGAGCCTGCAAGTCAGCTTCACTTAGCTGGTTGCGGTGTCTAAGAGAGTGAACCGAGTGGAAGGAGATATTTAGTTGAAGGTGAAAGGCAGAGAAGTGGAGGAGAGGAGCGAAAACTGACCGAAGACGGAATCAAGGAATGTCACTTCGTCTCTCCAATCTCTATGAGGTCCTTGTTGTCGTTCTGGGAAGAAGAATGATTTCCGAGAGTAGAAGCATCTTAATGATCAGTCTCACACTCTCATATATTTGATTTTCGAGTTCATCCTGATGACAATACCCGAGAGACTACGCTGGAATGATTAGGATATATAGGATAACACTCACCGCCAGACTTTGGTGAATCCACAATACTCCCTGGCGATATGAATGATACGATATAGACCGAGTAAGTTGAGGGTCGTCCCGCACGTTTTAAGAATGAGTAAGTGAGGTGCGACGAATAAAGATGATTCACTAAATGTCAGGGTTCTTTCTCTCCACGTGTTCCGTCGCTTCATGCTTCCGATGAGAACCATCTCCCAAGGAAGAATCCCTCGGATTTCAAAGAGCAGTATTACCTCTCAATCCAGTTTATGGGCACAACCTCAAGCTCAGAGTATGGAGTAAGGAGCTATAAGGCTGAAGGTCTTTAAATAAGGAGGTGATGAGGACCGTACTCACCTAAGAAGATACGCATCAATCTCTTTCCCTTCAACCACACTGAGAACCTTACACCTCACAATGTTCAACATTTCCTCCCACACCTCTCGAGGAACACAACGTAAACCCTTCCATTCCGTCCCGTCTGGAGTCGAGTCTGCTCGCTTACGCAGCTTTGATGCTGTATGACTTGTAGGCAAGGCATCTGGGGAAGGGGCGAACCATACCTCCAGAAGCTTTTCTGGACCTTCAAACGGACCGGGTGAGCTGCCTTGGTCAAGAGTGACAACGGACATTTAGTGATTGTCGAGTAGTGAGAGAGATGTGAGCAGTCTGAATATAGAGTAGCGATGTCAGGGAGCTGAGGGGATGATGGGGAGCATGATGCTGCTTGCTTTTTGTCGAATTTGATGGGGATGGAAGTGTAGAGTAGGACGATGATTTCGCACCGAGTTAACAGGGAGGGCCAGGTCACGTGATGGAAGCACCGCCACAACGACGTTTTACTGCCGGCTTTTCGGAGTTTAGACGCCACGTGCCATGTCCGTCAGTCCGCGTCTCGGTCATGGAGGATTCTCTCCTTGTCCGTCTCTCACTGTAAACTACTCCAGCTTGTACCGAACAATATGAAATACCCAAACGCCTTGGGTGACATCCCAAATGCAGCACAAGAGTCAAATCGTACCAACAGTATACCTCGGTACAATTACCTAGACTCTCCTTCATCTTCCAATCATCCTCACTCCACTTCCATCGAGCAAGGGAGGATACAAACTTCTCCATTGTACGATCCCCATAGCAACTTTCTCGGACCCTTACCTGATGCCTGTGATGAGAAAATCAGCAAGAGTCCCGTCCTCGAGTCTCAAGACGGTCAGACTGGTGAACATGCTCATGGGGAGGTGACGGAATCGGCATTGAATCAATTGTTCAAAGATCTCGATCAAAGTCATGAGGCTCAGATTCAACAAGATCAACTACTCGATCCTACTTTGGCGGATCATGATCACCAACTGGATGACTATCAACATGATCATAATCATTCTTCTACCAACAGTCAAGAAGGTCAATCATATAAACGTAAAGCGACTAGTAGAGCTAATATGTTGGCTAGAGGTGGAGCTTGCGAATTTTGTAAAAAGAGGAAATTGAAATGTACCGCAGAATTACCTTCTTGTTCAGCTTGTATTCGAGCTGGGAAAGAATGTGTTTATTCTCAAAAGAAACAACGGAGTCGAGTTCGACAATTAGAAGATCGGCTTGTAGAACTTGAAAAACGATTAGAAAGCACAGGATCAGGATCAGGTGTATCAACTGTAACATCTGATCAAAATTCAACATTGGTCAATGCGGTTCCATATCTCACTTCGAGAAGAAGTTCGGAAGCATTGATTATGAGTCAAGCTCATCATGTGTCTTTGACTGAAAGAGACGAGCTGTTTTCTTTACCGACTCCTGAAGGTAGTTTTACCCTTGCTGGTTTGGACATGACGGGGGGAACGGGAATGGAACATATTGAAGAACCGGATTTGATGACTTTGGCAGATGCTGCAGCTGCCAACGCTCCGGTTATGAGAAGGATGTCAAGTGATGATTGGCCTTGGGAAGGGATGACGGCAGATGCTATCGGTCATGCCTTAGTACGTGCTGTGGAAGGAGGCAAGGGGATTGGAGAGAAGATTTTGACTCATCTGTAAGTAATACCTTCCCAACTTCCGAATCATTATTTAGCCCACCGTCTGACCTTTCATCCGATTGTTTATGCGGCTTCTTTGTGGAACGATCACAATCTGGAAACAAGGACCTATGGCTAATCAACTAGAATTCAGATATACGTCACAGCACCTCCCTCTGCTATGCTCCTTCTCCTCGACGCCTGCCCCCCTCAAACCCTCCTCCATCGCCTTTCACCAAGCTCTACAGATCCTCCTCATCCTTCACTCCTTCTCGCTCTACTCCCGTTTCTCCTCTCGGCGTCCACATCCCCGGCTCTATCCGCTGATGATCATGTCGACGTCATCTCCACGCATCTCGTTCAGTCCAGTCGTATGCACTCCCTCTCTGCCTTATCTATGGCCGACGGTCGCCTCCTCGACCTCGTTGCCGCTGATACCATCCGAGGCTGGGGTTTATTCTGTCGCGCACGATTTCTGGATGGAATCTCAGATCTGATCGGATTGGCGGTACGATCTTGGTCCGCAGGTCTTGGGAAGTTGGGCGGGACGGGGGCGAGGTTTGTCGGTGGAGATGACGAATGGAAGGTCTTGGTGGAACGTAACGCGAGGATAAAGACGTTTAGAAGGAAGACTGCTGTTCATCCGCCTCCAAATTCTGCTACCGATTTGGCCGCGAGGATAAAGCTTTTGTGAGTGGTCCGTCCGCACTCTCCGAGTACGCCGCTCCCGTCCATCCCTACATCTTCCCGTGTGGTGTTTCATTCTGCAGTTCCCTCACGATTGGGGTATAAGGGAAAGCAAGGCTGACACATAGCTGGGTGGTGTATGTTGTAGAGAAAGCAATGAACATTGGGTGGAACTGGCCGAGCGGTATGTCTTTTGTCCTCTTCGCCCACGAATCCTATATTCCCTACGGCGTATATAAGCTATGTGACATTGCGAAGTATGGTCGTTTTAGAGCTGATAACAGGCTTCAACGAAGAAGAAATATCCACGCCTTGGCCTAGAGAAGACTATTCCTCCGTACGTTCGACATATTTGTTCTAATAATGTGATCTGACTTAGTAGCCTGAGGCGCTCAGAGACGATCGTGGGATAGCAGATTTTTTCGATCTGAACAATACATCTCCGACATGTAGCGGTGTATCCGGAGGTACAGATTCCGATTGGTGCGTTCTGGTCAAAGCGATCACACTCCAGCATCGGGCTGCTAGGTGAGTTTCTCATTCGTTTTCACTTCTCTCCCAACTCACCCAGACTCGTCTGACGTTCTCACATCCCAAGGGATTGACATGCAACTTTTAATTGACTGTATAGACAATTTGAGATAGCTCCCAATGCCGCAACGACACAAAGAAATTCTGATCTGGAAACGGCGACGGTAAGATATATGCGTTCTCTTCGTCCTGTCCCTTCGATGGGATCACATGAGACTGCCCTCCGCTACGCTACATTGAATCTCGCATGGACCATTTTATACGCGTAAGTGTCTTTTTACCCAAACTGCACACTCAAGTCCGTCTTCCCAGGCCATCCTGCATATCCTTCATCCGGGTGTAAGTAATATACTGATACGACGCAGAACATTATGTCTGTGCTACATCAAGAAAGAAGTCGATTCGACTCCTGGGAGTCAAACAGGATTACCTGATCAGATTTTAGATACGGCCGAAAAAGCTTATGGTCATATTGAAATGGCTATGAATGGAGGTGATCCAGATTTAGGTGAATCATCATTCCCTTCTCTCTTTCATACCTGCCTTAGCGACCATTTTCCTACTACCATCTCTCACAGACCTATTGTTATGATCTGCATTTTACACTCAGTCGACTCTGTATTATGTGCTCGGAGTGTGTTTTTGATTGCTTGCAAGTCAACTGTGTATCATTTGCTTGAAGTGGATTCCTGATTGTTTACAAGTCCGCCCGAACAAGTGTGTGTACAGTAATACATCCAGGAGGATCATGATCCAGAGGAGTAACCTCACATAAGAGCTAACGTTGTAGAAGGCTACGAACTTTTAGCTGTGGCATGTTGGGCAGATTTAGCACGTTCATTAGCTTTATACACTTTGAATCTAGGTTCAACACGTTCACGAATTCGTTCGAAAGATCCTATTTTCATTACTAGAGCAGGAAGAGCAAGAGGGTTGACAGATAAGTTTGTCAAGGCTTATGAGATCATTGTGAGTTTTTTCTTTTCTTTTCCCCCCTCCTCTCTCGTCTTCAACTAAAGGAGAAAACAAGGAAAAACGATATAAACCCCTTCGTGAAGGATCCAAACATTACTTCACAAGTACTGTTTTATTCATCACATATGTCAAATTTCACAAACTCTATCCGAAATATAGAACGCAGACTTTTGGAAACTGGAAGGGGTCAAGCTAATCTACTCAGGGTAAAAGAACAAAAGTAGGAAAACATTTCATGCTTGTTTTAGAGTGAGCATCTTCACTTCTTTTCTATCTTTTCATCCTCCTCATACCAATACCATTTTCTTCGACACGACGATATTTCATTTCTTAGTTTGAATCGTATTTCAGATGAAATCGTACGATTTGAGGTAAAACAAGGATGAGTTGGGGAACACAATTGACATGCAGGAATCTGATGATGGGTTTCGAGGCGAAACAAGGGGAATACAGTAGAGTAGATTATGTTGCTTGATCGTGTTTACCGTATGGACGTGTTCATGTATTTGTATCTTTCCTTTTTTAAGATGAATTTGGGTGTCTTCTTCAATATACAAATTGGTCCCATAACGTGTTATTGCTTGTGACACGTATGTTGCCATTTGAGAACTTAAGACGACAAGATCATATGCATACAATAATCACAGAAGTCGACAAATGGCTCATTATACGTTTTACGTTCGTCTCAATTCGTATAAACATGTCAAATCAAGAATCTTTCATGGAGAACGCTTGATCGATAGATGGGGGACGAGGGTGTTCTAAATCAAAAGTAAAATACGGCAATCGTACAATAGAATTGTGAAATTTCAGATGGTAATCCAGAAATCCGGAGGAAGAGTCAAAGGTCGACGGGAGAACATTTATATGATTGACAGGGGTTCGAATGAGAAGGACCGGCCTTCTAGTATCGACACAAAGATATGATCGGATCATCGGAAAGAAACTGTTTGACCATTCTGTCGAGCTTTCTCTCTTTCGAGCGCTGCGGCTTTTTCGTTCGCGGCCTGACAGTCAGTGTCACCATTCTTACTCCGAATCGATTCCGATCTGTTCCCGACTGCTTCATACAGCCCGTGGTTGTGTATGATCTCACGTATACCAAACACAAGTCAGGTGCGAGAGGATGTTGGCATGTCACAAGAGATGCGGGATGTGAGATGGGAGGAGAGAGGGAGAAAATAAGGTAGGTGTCATCGACTCACCTGGGAGATAGTCATGTACGCCCTGGTAGGACTCGGCTGCACGTCGTCCACTTGAGGTACACCTTTAGCGGGACCAAACAAATTATCAGGATCTTCAAACTTCTCGTTATAGTCGAATACCGTTCGCATGAGGTTGAGGAAACGTTCGGTTTTGCAGAACTGCGATTTAGCGATAGCCCAACATGCCTTTTCCCGCAACCTTATCTTTCGTCTCTACGGGAGGTACTTCGAACCCGTGCTTGACAATATCGTCATTAAATTCGAGTTTGGGAAAGTGAGAGATGCCGAATGACATTCCCACAAAATGTCTCGACGTAGTGGGGACCTATGGTAGTGAAGGGAACCGCGTGAGGGACAGAGGGACGAGGAAGGATTGAGAACTGTAACCCACCTTCGGCACCGAATCAGTGGCCATCAACCTGAATATATACCCTTGAATCCTTTCGTACAATTTGACCATTGTCTGTATCTGACTGGCGTGCATGGTGCTAGCTGCTTCGGCACTCATTTGACCTTTGGCAGCGGCCTCCTTGTCGGTAGTCACTTGGTTCATATATGAGATCAACTCTGCGCGGAGGTTATGATCGATGTTGAGCTCGCATGGAGAGGCAGGGGCGAGGAAAGCTGAGGTATTAGTCATCGTGTAAAGCTTGCCACGTAGAGCCCCGGAAGACACGACGCATTATGTTACGCGAGACGCATGAAATCTTCACGGCGGGAAATGTCCAATGTCTGACGTTCACGACATCATTCGGAGTAAACACTGATCTGAGAGAGGAAGTGCAGGAAGAGAGGGGGAGAAAAGGACGAGTCAACTCGACTCACTGTTGTAAATGACAAAAGCCATAGCAATCAATTCCTGATGATGTTTCTCCATAGCCTGAGTTGCCGGTTTTCCTTTTCCCGACGGCGCAGCCACAGCACTACTAGTCGTATTGAACCTTCTCTTCAAATCCTGTACATCCAACCAGAAACTAAGGTTCTCTTCACAAAAGTTTACCCTTAAGAACTCTCTGAACAAACTGCGTAGAGCAGGTTCTTCAAGGATTTGCTTAAGTCTGGCAGTATGAGAATCTTTGAGATGTACGTCTTTCTCATCTCCACCTTCACGGAGGTTACCAGAAAGGGATGGACGACGAGTGAGGTTTCCTGATTCCGTCGCACGGGAATCTTCGGTTGAGTGAGAAGCACGAGATTTAGAGAGAGATTGGGTGGAGGTAGTAGAGTCGGCAGAATGAAGGTTGGGTTTAGAGATTGTCGCAGAGGGATTGGACGTCTTGTTGTCGGACCATTTAGCTAGAGCGAGACCATCTTTGGTGATTCGATAGATAGCCTTGTCGGTGGCTCGGAACTCAGCTTCTTGCTGTGATGTCAGCGATTGTGAAAATGTTGGACGATGCGTCTGAGCGGCCAAGAGAGAAGACGCGAACACCAAGAGAAGACTGGGAAACGTTGAGAAGGGATGAGCACAAAGAAGACAAAAAAGCGTGTGGATTTGCACGACTTGACTCACCATTTGCGCACCGGCAGCACCACCCGCACCACCCCCTTTGACAGTCACCACCGTGTTACCATCTTTGACTTTTCCCTTGTCGCTGACCAATGCGATCAAACCATATCGCACGAAATGAGCTGCGATTTCTGCCGCTTCATCCAATCCGACGCAAGTCGAGTAATCCAACAGCCATTCAGCGGCGAGTATCGCTGAGAATTGATATTCCTCCGTTGTACTTTTGCCATTTTGCACCTGAGCCTTTCTCAATGGCATACCCAAACTTCTGTCCAGCTCTTCAATCTTCTCCGCATCACCTTTGTTATACCATCGAAGGGTGTTATACTTTTGTAAGTCATCGTCTGACATGGTGACGAGATTAGGTTCTTTGATCCCTAAAAATCTTCTGAACAAAACTTCGATGACTGATTTAGTGATGATGATCTCGTCATCTTGACTACGACGTTCGAGATGAAGAAGTTTCATCGCAATAGGTTGATGGGCAAAGATGAGAAGTAGGTTGTCAGCGGAGATACCGTTCTTGGTTATGAACCTTTCAAGGATGTGTAAACCTTTGGGGGTGGCCATGAATATACCTCTTTCTTTGAATGTAGTGGATGGGAGGTCAGGACCGTTCTCGATGAGATGAGCATCGAGGAGTTGTTGTAAGATCCCACGAGCCATTTCGCGAGTCATTGAGAAGGTCGTTGTGGTTGTAGTCGTGATGATCCGGGATGGATCTTTGGGGTCTGCGGAACGTTGTGATTGAGAAAATTTGAGAGAAGACAGGTTCTCCGCTGCTTCGTCGCTGAAAGTCAGTTCGGTCGGTCTTTCATACACCGACAACGCTACATCTGGAGCAAGTGGGTGGGGCCTTTGGAGTCGAAGCGGGAAGGAAGGGACTCACGTGGTGAAAGAGTAAGGATAAGTTTTGAAGAAACTCCTATGGTTGCCGAGCTCAAGACTGATGAAGAGGGTGGAGAAGAGATCGTGAATGTCCTACACGTCAGAATCACGTATATGTCACATCTTCTCATCCAAAGCAGGGTCAGTCCAAAGTTCTGACCCGGTAAATTATAAGAGGGAACGTTGGCAAGAACGCAAAAGGACCCATTTCAGAGACGATGGAAAGGGATGAGACAGACGGCCACAGGGGAGAGGGCAATGAGATGTCTTTGGTCACTGATCCTAAGTAGAAGATGGAATGATGGGAGTGATGAGTGGTAACACAACCTCAAATGATCATCCTCATCCATCCCCATGACGAACTCCATCTTCACAATGAAAACTAGCAGGGATACGATACTGAGAATTTAACTCACTTTGACAAACGGTCTCCCCCTCCGGGTGGTTTTCATCATATGTGAATGACTCGACATCTCGACAGTTTTTACAGGATCGGCAAAAGGATCGATATAAGTTTCTTTCCAATTTATCAAATCTTCGAAATCGTCTGTAAAAGGATCTTCTGATTTATGTTCTTGGTCTTCGAACGGAACAATCCAATCGTCAAAAGGATCAAGATGGGTCTCTTGAAAAAGAGAGAGATCTGGAATCTTGTCGATCTGGTTGAAGAAGTCGGGGTATTGAAAGTACTTATTGACCAACGGATAGGAAATGGTCAGTCACTATGAGGAATGTGAATGTATTTGGTTGTATAAAATAAAGATGTGAAAAAGATGAGGAGAAAAGGAAAAGGAAAAGGACAAAAAGATGATGAAAAGGTAGACCGGTTTTTGGTTCTTGTGGGAGATACGCGGTGGGGCTTCGGTTATCGGGTTTGATGGGATTGATTGATTCGGTCAGGGAGACAAAGATCCCGAGGATGTAAGAGGATTTGGATTACCTCGTAGCTGAAGAAGAGAGGACTGTTACTTTGTAACGAGAGTCGGGTGGGAATGCAATGAGTCTGGTAGAAGATCGTGAGGAAGGAAAGAAAGAGGGGAGGGATTGAGATTATTGGGTCTAGAATCCAAGAGGCAAGAGGGAGAAACTATTGATGAGCCAAAGGGCGATACACGGGGATACGCCACCTTTAAACGAAATGAGAAACACAGGGGTGAGAAGGAAGCAAGTGCAAGTGAAAGATAATTTGATGGGGCAAAAAGCGGATAAACGGAGAGATGAAACATGCACTGACCTTCTCAAAGGACTTTGGTCTTTTGGGTATTTTCGGGCAAGGGGGAACGATCAATTTCACTAAGGTACGGTGTATCTTGATGCACTATCACTCCGACAGTTCCCGACAGACCTTTCAAGATAGGACCCGGGACAAGAAGAGACGAAAAAGTTGAAGGAATGGTGTGATGGTGGAATGTAAAGATCGTCAGGTCCCATTCCCTTTTTAGACTCTTTTCTACCGCTTAGTCCCTCGTCTATAGGTTCTACATTGTTTGGACTTTGTCTTCTCGGGCCGAGGGAGGGAGAGGAGAGAAAGAAAATGAAGATATAGGGGAAAAGACGAAACGGATCGGCAGATCGGCGGATCACATGAAACGCGGAAAAACAAAATCCATGTGTGTAGAGTTTATTGTCCTCTCCCCGATCCCTGACATTTACTCGGCATTTGGCCTTTCCGCCACTAGTGCCACAAGCTCCGTAGATCTCGGATACACGAACAGGCAAGGGGGAAAGAGCCATGGTGTGACGAGAGATGGGAATGCATATTTTGATTCTTTGCTGTACATTGCGCAAGTTATCATTCACATAAAGCTCATTTTTTCGTCGTAGCTGCCAACATGTCATCTTCAGAGACTGCATGTCAGCTGACATTCCACCCAAACTTCTTCCCGATTTATTGACAGGGGGTTTACCGGCGTGTGTGGACCCGTAGTCGTACAGTAGGTGAGTGAAGTCCAAAGACGTGGCAGAGTAGTGAAATGAGAAGTATAACCCAAACTCACCATTCAACATCAAACTCTTGGCATCCAACATGACCTTGTTCCCACTTTGAGATAAAGTCCCCGCAATCTCTCTAGCAGCTTCCAACCTCCTCAACTGCAAAAACCCTTTATTCGTCCTCACTGCCTCTCCGATCAATTCAGCACTCCTCGCTTCTCCCTGCGCACGAACGATGATGGATTGTTTTTCTTGTATAGCTTGATCCACTAAGAAAGCAGCACGTTGAGCGATCTGTTGTGCCACTTGCTTTGCCTCGACAGCATGGGTGAATTCTGGGGAAAAGGCGACATGAGTGATGGAGACATCATCGAGGATGAGGTTGAATCGTCTAGCACGACGAGTCAAGTTTTCACGGACGAGACGGGAAACCATTTCACGTTGAGTGATAAGTTGAGAGGCGTTGAATTGCGCGACAACGGATTTGAGAACTTCATTGACGATGGATGGAAGGACTCGTTCATCGTAGTCTGTCCCGAGTTCACGGTAGCTATGATCAGCGTAGTCATGTGTATTGCGTACTCCTGTTCGGAAGTAAGGTCTGGGGACGAGGGCTTGATGAGATAACACACATAGTCGGAAGATCATTGACTGAAGGTCGTGACAGAACACGACAAGTGATGTTGACCTTTGCGTCAGTTTCTGGTCATGAAGCCTTCCTCTCAGGGACGTCAATCCCCCCTCTCTTCTTTATACTGGCACCTAGCATAGAGACCGGAACGGCTCCCCAGCCAAATTGGTGCCATGCGATTCCAATTTCCATGTTAGGCACAACTATCATCAAGACGTCAGAATCTTGACAATCGCAAAAATTGGATCAATACAGAGAAGAAGACGTTGGACTTCTGACCACCCAGAAAGTGTATAAATACGGAAAAGAAAACATAAACGCACCATTTGCAAATCCTTGGTCCCAGTCAAGGAAGCGATATTCCGAGGTTTGGCACGAACGTCATAAATGACAGGAGTTTCTAGCCAAGGGACCTGACGTGAGTACTTTTTTCCAGTGCCACAACAACGACATTTATAAAAAATCCGAACACTTCTTCTCAGATAGAAAAGAAGACGAAAAAGGGAATTTGTGGTTTATCATAATGCTAACCAGTGTCATAGACGTAGAGAGAAGAGAGTATGAGAGTTATTCGGTGGATCGACATTGATCCAAGTCGGGAATGAACGTAGCGCCTCAAGGTGATTGTATCGGAAAGAAAGTTGGGAATCGAAGAAGTAAACTGGTGGAGGACTCACCCTCAGATGAGTACCTTCAGGATAAACATTAGGTTTCACCCCACTATACCTACTATAGACGATGGATCTATGTCCACCATCGACTATTGATAAGTTTTATTCCTTCATCCACCCTATCACTCCCTCGCTATGACCGATTCATATCATAACATCGGAAGCAATGACTGGCCCATGTCTTCTATCAGGGGTTACATTTCAGTCAAAGATAGGGAAGGATAGTGTTTAATGTTGCGGTCAAAGAACACAAGTAGACTGTAGTCATAGACTGTCAGGCGAGTGAAAAAGGATGGCATATACGATGAGATAAGATGAGAAAATGGGGTATCGGATAAACCCAAATGACGAGATGAGGTGGGAAGAAATGAAGGAGGAAAAGAAAGAAAGACATTTACTCACCATTATATAAAGCATTACTAGCTACGTAAATCCCTCCGAAAATCAACATCAAAGCTCCTCCTCCAGCTAACAAACCACCAGAACCACCGGTCCCACCACCATTACCTCTACCTTTACCTGGTACACCACCTCTACTAGCTTGAAAAGAACGGTTGGCTTGTTGTAATAATCTCAAGAGCGATTCGGCCGGAGGACGATTCATCTTGGTCTGACTCCCTTTTGTGTGGTAATACAACCTGCCCTGACTAGAGATTCCCCTGGGAGTTGACAATTCTTAAACACTATTTTTCAATAGGTGAGGGAGTGTGTGGAATCGCCGATTAAGTGGGAAGACCAGGATAGGGGGAGTATGGTGGAAAGACAGTTGGGGAGGAGATCGGGCGTTGGAGGAATTTGGAAGGGATTTGATCCCGTCTTGCATCAGCCGGCTCCGGGTCACTTGCGTCACCTTGTTGCCGAGCGAGTGCGAGTATTACCTCATGAAATTGAAATGCAGCATGCAGGGGTACTAGGCATGGGACAAGTGAATAGGTTTATTGACAGCCACAATACAGAGGGTAGGCAACACAGTCATAGAGTGATGCATAAATCTTACCATTTTCCAATGACTCCCCTAACTATCCAAGGAAAATCATTGAGTTGGCACTTGAAGCAACATGTTGCCTTGACTAGCTGGCACATAACTGACGTTCTTCGACCCACTCAATGTCGTAGCTGTACATCAATCTTGATTATCCTCTACTTTCAAACGCTCTACCAGGACTGAGAAATGAAAGCCAGCACACGGGGTTAATGCCATATGAAGGAATTACGCGAGGCGGGGCTGATGAGACTTACCAATCTCCCGAGCAGCTTCAATCTTCCTAAACTGAACAAAAGCGTCTCCTGCTTTGCTCAATGCAGCCGAGATAGTCTGCGCCGCTTCGGCCTCTCCTTCGGCTCTTATGACTGCAGCTTGACGTTCTTGCTCGGCTTTCTCGACCACAAACTTGGCACGTTCAGCGTCTTGTTGCGCTATCTGCTTTTGTTCTACTGCGGTTGTGAATTCTTTGCCGAACCTGAGTGTCAGATTGTCTCCTCTATGTAACTACCCTGTGCACCAACAAACACACGGAGACCCTGATGATGTGGGTAGGTGGGGAAAGGGTGAGAAACCAACGTCATATGTGTCTATGAGTCAGCATTATGTAGATTGACTATTGGCAATGGGATACATACTATTGAGACGTCTTCCAGGAGAATGTTGAACTCTTTCGCCCGGTTCAGGAGATCATCTCTTATTCGTGCTGATACCTGATCGTAAGCTCTTGCCATAGATGTACAGCAAGCTCGACCTACAATCTCCCGATTTGTGATCAACTCAGAAGCTGTGCAATCAGTACACTCTCTGCGCTGACTGAGCGTTGACTCACCATCAAATTGTGCCACTGTAGCTTTCAGAACTTCATTCCCGATGGAAGGTAAGACACGTTCATCGTAGCTTCAGATCAGCCACTCTCCACTACTCAAGAAGCGACACGTAGATCCTTAAGATATATACAACTTCTGACATCGACCGCTCGGGTAGTGACAAGAGCGGGAGTAGGGGAGAGGAGGAATGGGACCTACTCTAAGCCTAGATTCTGATAAATGGTAGGAAGATGTTCCACATCTGGTCGGGACATGACACGTAATGTCAATGAGACCATTTGCATATCTGTTCTTCAGCCATCTGTTCTCATCGTCCTCGATCATTCCGTTCCGATGACTGAAGGAGAAAACAAACCTTTCGATCCTGTCGTTGTGGATATATTCTGTGCGTGAGCTTGCGTTTGACAGTCCTGAAGCTCGAGATGACTCACTCTGGGTTTGATTCGAACATCATACAAGATAGCTTTTCGGATAAAAGGGAATAAAAGGTGCGTTCCTTCACCTTTTGCCTGAAGGGTCAATTCTCGATCCCGACACCTGGCCACTCTAGAAGACCCTTCCATCTCGCCTCCCATATCACATTCCCATTTTATCATTGTATCAACACTATTGAATCAAGAAGTCAGGTAAGGACGAAATGCTTAGTGAAATGAAAGAGGTACGACTTGGGACTGACCACAGGTTGAACACCTGAAAACCTATCAAAAAGAACCGCTCGATACCCTCCCGGGACGTCGTACAAAGCTGCAGGAACCACAGTCGCCGCCAGACCAAGAGGTACTATTTATCAGCTTGACAGAAGGGTACGACGGAAGAGACTGACTGATCAGCCCGCCTAGTCTCTGTGCAAATGCCATGACGTTTATAGTGAGAAAGAGGATTCAACTCGGTGTAGCCAGTCTGGAGACGTAGCAGGATCGCAGGAAAAGGAGGGCGAAGAAATGCCACGTCATTGAAAGATTCCACCACGTGGCTTCAGTGTCCGACATCTCCGGCCACAGCTTCGGCCATCTCCCTTGCGTGTTCCTACAAACTCGGAAAGGAAACAATATGAGTGACTACATCAAGTTGAATGTGACCAGCTCTGTCTCACGTTCTCTCATGTGGAGTACAGTCGGTCTTAGAGTCAGTGATGATAGACGTCGTGTCAATAACTATGAGCTCGATATGACGTACCGGTATGTCACCTTGTTACCTCGGCCAAGAGCCGTCGGTGTCGGAGAGTTTCCTTCACGGCAGTGACGTCCCCCTTCCTCGGCGTCAGTTCGGTAAGCTAACTGCATGAATGACTTGTTGTCTCTGTAGCATGTAGCAACCTTGTTCATATCTTGACCTTACTCTATTGCAAAACGCTTATACATCTGTCAAAATGACACTCATCTTGATCACCGGTTTGAACGGTTTCGTATGTCCTCCATTTCCCCCACATTCCCAACCTATGTCTCTTCACCCGAACGTTTACCCTCGACAAGACAAACTGCTATGGAAGGTGATGTAAACCATTGAAGATCGAGCAGATGTATGAGCAGAAATCAACTGACTTTAGATCGCACTTCACATAGCTCGGCGTTTCCTTGAAGCTGGTCATAAGGTCAGAGGAACCGTCCGATCTAAAGGGAAAGGAGATCTGGTCTTATCTCTTCCCGCATTGAGCGAGTACGCACAGAATGGCAAGCTTGGGTATGTGATAGTACCAGATCTTATTAAGGGTGATTATGAAGAAGCCATGAAGGATGTTGAGGTTGTTATCCATGCTGCTTCACCTGTGAACATGTGAGCTTCTCTCATTTCTACCTCTTCAATTTGTCCCAATCATCCCTTCCGGCTATACGTTCCTCATCTGTGCACTTGTGTACTATCGCCTAATAGCATATAATCTATCATAGAGGAGTACAGGATGGTCATCATATTGGCTTTTGTGGATCAAGTCTATAGAGTAATGGGAAAGGGCCGAATATGTGTATTTGAGAACTGGGATGCTAATATCAGGTCAAATGATCAAACTTGGGAACAGATCCGTGATCCCGCAGTGGAAGGTACCAAAACGGTACATAGAGCAGCTGCTAAAGCTGGTGTCAAACATGTTATCCAAATCTCTTCTTTCGGTGAGTACATTCTCATACTTTCAAATCACAACTCCTACCAACCTCTTTTCCTTCTCACATGATCACAGAAAGACTCGTAATCAGATCTTTCAAATCACCTCGTGGCTGCTACTCTGCTACAATGAATATTCGTGGTCCTAATCAACAGCGAGTATGTCAGACTGGCTAGTACCTTGGTCGGAACAAGACGGAAGGGTATACGACGAAACTTGTTGGAATCCAATCACCGATGAACAAGCTAAGAATTTGGAAACTTTACGTCCAGAGTGAGTTAACTCTTTTTCCCAAATACCGAATACTTTCCCGACTTCTACTCGTATTCCGTAGGGTTTTCATCGATGATTGGATCACGGTCTGTCCAGCAAATTCATAGCAAGGGAAGAGGTTGAAAATCAAGTCAGACAGGCGAAGAACTGATTCCCTTTTAGTCTCCCAAGTCGTTGGGGAGGAATCAGGTATTGCGCCTCTAAGAAGTTTTCAGAACTTGCAGCGATGGAAGAACATTTTCTTTCGGGAAAATCTTATAAGCTTTCTATTCTATGTCCACCCAGTAAGTTCAATTCATCATGACACATCTTCGTAGTCTCACCCTTTCCCCAAGCAATAAGCTCTACCGTTCTCCCTCATTGACCTTTCTACAAATCTTTAAAAAATCATCACACCCATCTGGATCTCAGATGTCAACTTAATCACGGTGAAAACTAACTTACATCCCGAGAATAAACGAAGCTGATCGATAGCCAACCTTGGTCCTAGTCGTAAGCTCCCCTTGAACTGAACTTGGAAGTACCTCAAGTCATAGTGGACGTCATAACCCCACCTACTCAACAAGGTTTCTCCGTATCAAAGATAACCGATCTTTTAGTCGGTTATGATAAACCTATAGTTCCTGCGGCGCTTAATAATTATGTTGATGTACGTGATCTTGCCGAGGCGACTTTTAAGGTGGTGGAGAAGGGTCATGAAGGACGTTTAGGTATAAGAGCAGGATGTGAGTTTATATGATTTTCTCTCTCTCTCTCACACACTCCCTCTCTTTGTCTTCTGTTTGTTATCTCCAATATACTCTCACTCTCACTCTCACTCCCTTCTTTTCCTCTCTTGACAAATGTAACCACCATTTATCTGTCCCCACTTTATCACGGGCAATCATCATTATATCCCTTTGCTCTGTCATCCCGTTAAACGCTCTGTCCAAGGGAGAGGAACGGGCTAATGATGAGTGGCGATTGGCGATTAGTGCGAGATTGAGGAAGTAGAGCTAAAAGTCAGATTACGACCATCAACTCGTTGCTGATCATATACGTAACCTCATCCCTGAATTAGAAAAACAACATCGTATACCTCTAGGTAATCCAGGTCAATACGTTTCTGTCACTGGTCCGAAAGTGACTTTAGACGCTAGTAAAGCCACTCGGGAATTAAGTATGACTTGTGAGTTTTTTTCCTCTTCTTCCTTTTTTTTCTTCTTCTTCTTTTTCCGAACTGGTGTTCACCCGGAACGCCCAATGGTCATTCTACATACACTGATTTGACTTCGTCAGCGGGCAAGATGTTATCAGAGGATTTATGTTTTGATGCAGTGTGGGGAATAGCTAGAGATGCGAGGGAAGAGAAAGAAGGAAAGAATTGATTTTCAGATCGCGAGTTTGACGAAACGGTTCGTGATGCCGTACAAAGTGTTTTGAATTATGAAGCCGTTCATGGTCATCTTTAGAGGGTTCTTTTACCATACCTCATACTACGCATAATATGTGTTGAAGGTGTTTCCAATGGGCTGCTATAATAAGTTCAAGGGAATACAAAGTTTACGTAGAGTATAGTAAAGGTTGTAGATGATACAACAACATGCATCTAGATGATTTTGACAACGGTCATTTGTAAATAAGAAGATTTCCAATAACTCTACATGACTACCCGATTGAAGATGAAGCAGAAGGGAATCCTTTGATCATTCAATCATTCTTCTACCCAGACAATTTTACCATCTTTCACTTCTTCCCTCCAACCTAAACCCTTCTCTCTTTCCTGTCGAAACTTATTTTCACCATCAACGACCCTGTCACTCAAATCACCTTGTCCATCAACGTCCATCTTTTCCATTCCACCCTTATTCCCCCTTCGATCCCCTGGTTGGACAAAATCAGCCTGTGTGATCCGAGCGCCATGGACGTCCTGAACGAATGGTACGGGATTATGATTGTGATTGTGATTGTGATTTGATAAATCATCCGACTGGATATCCACCACTTCATCCATCTCAGCCCCTCTTCCAACTCCTTCTTCTTCTATCCTCTCTGCTATTCGGCGCGCTACTGCCAAACCTAGATCGTAAAATCCGTCATTGGTCTTGGGACTGAACATTGCCATATGGGCCGATACTTCGTCTTTTGCTATCGTGTTCGTAGCTGGTATCCAGAGGGGGTAAGTGGGGTGGGATTGAGGAGGGAGGATGGTGAATGTTCTTTGAGTTAAAGAGAGGGAAGAAGGTGGTAGATGAGTGTAGAAACTGTTCTGTCAGTATTGTCTACCAGAAAGATATCCCAATCCAAGCCAGTCTAGGATAGATATCACAATCCAAATGAGAATCTGTTCTCATCCCGTGCATCATAATAGCCACTCAGTGTCGGCATCACAGTCATGTACGTGTGATGAACAGTTGAAAGGAAATGTGGATAAGATATGCGGGGGACAAGTGACTTGACTTGATAATCGACAGTGGGATAGTAAAAGAGATGAAGCTCACTTCCAAAACTTCACATTATGCTCATTCTCCAAAACCTGAGAAATAGCCAACAACCTCCCTCTCAATCCCTCCTCGTCCCACAGGTTTCTGACAAAAGTCATATGTTCGTATCCCCACTTCCAACCGTTCACAAAGTCTTCACGACGGTAATACATAGTACCCACCGCTGCGGCACCCAATGCCACCGCTCCCAGTCCGTACAATGCGTTGGTGGATGGAGTCGCAAGTGTAAGCAAAGACCAACGGGATTTGTTAGATGATATTTCTGGTGGTTTGTCATTTTCACCAGATACGACAGCTTGATTTTGTTTTTGCCGTGATGAAGACTGTGAAGGTTGACCTCGAGATTCGAACTTCGGTGTTGATTGTGGGATATCGGGATGAGAGGGTTGAGAAGGTTTTCCAAGACCAAATTTGCCGAATCCCAGTCCGACAGCAATGGGAGATAACATGGTAAGTCCGGAAGCTATTGAACGGGCTTGTTCGAGATATCCGGCAGCTTGGGAGAGTTGGTATTTCTGCAAACTTAGCGTCCTCTCGACTGGGTGGAGTTGATGGTTCAAGATGAATTCACTCACGAAAACGTGCTGAAAGATGAAAGAAAAACATGTCAGTACTCATAAGTGACCCATCAGAGTCATGGACCATGACTCACAGGATGTAATCCTAAATACTACCAGTAAGCTCGGCTAGACGGTCTGGCAGAAGAAGTGGGCAGACTTACGGGAGTATCAAAAGCCACTATGGCGACTACCTTGGGCCACATGGGATCACCAGGTCTGGTATTTCTCGCTATGTCCAATGCAGCGTCAGCAATCAAAAGTCCGCCCATCCTGTTGATCAGCATTTTCGACTGTACTCGTTCGTCCAGTTTATAGCCCTTGACATTGACATGAACAGAGTTCTGTCACTGAAGATCTGATGACAGTATACAGCTCAGGCCTGTAAAAGCTCGGGTGGGGGGGCTAAGTCACACGAGAAGAGACAAAGAAAGAACATACGAATGACCCAAAAGAACAATTTTCGCCCGTCCTGCTCCCCCACCAAACCCATGATCGTTCTCCAGCCCTACAACCAAGGAAGTGAGCCAATCGACGAAAGCCAAAGTTGCTGCGTGCTATATATCTCAGCGCTACTTCCCCAACCGTCCACCATGAGCTCCTTTGAGCGGATATGACCCCATAAGACCCTCGATATCCTTGTGGAGGAGAAGAATGTGCCTGCGAAGAAGAAGAAGTCACTCACCAACTCTCCTCTGGTCTGATATACAGGAAATACCCTCGATTCCACCCGAAGAGAAGGATGAGTAGCTTGAAGCAAGTGAGAGACACCTAAGAGAGTAAGTCTCCTGTTCACGAATGCTCAAAGCTTCAGTTGTCCAGCTGGATGACTGCGATGAGAAGGAAAACTGACGGTCGGGAAATGATTCAAATGTCACTTCGTTGCCTTTGAACCTGTCTCGTGAGCTGACACTCCGGTTGTGGCTGAGTAGCTCACCCGTGAACCCAAATCAGTAAGAGCAGATCCTTCGGTCGTCCTTTAGGCATGATTCTTATTCTATATCTTGTACCGTGTGTAGGGAGACGACAGTGAAAAGTTCCAACAAGACCGGGAGAGTTGTGTTCTATGACGTCGATCTTTTGAGTGTTTACGTAAACTTCGATCGCTCGCATTTTCGATTTTGGCAGAGAAAACCTCGAAAGAGGTGAGTAGATGTAAGTAGACATAGGTACTCGTACCGGTATACATCAGTCAAGACATGTTCACAGTCATACAGCGCCCATCGCTCTCTACGACCACTTACACGGACGATGCGTCTTCTTTCTACCCCGAACGGGGTCCAAGAAGAAACCAGGTGGAGGAGATGGAAGCTGACGGGTATGACGGTCAGGGAGAAGGAAGTTCTACGGGGTTGACTAATCGGGTGGTAGCCCCTGGGGAAGCTATTGCCTCGTCAAAAGAGTATATGAGGTACGTGAAATTCTCACTATACCTTACAATACAACTTTGTCTCGATAGCCGCCCCCTTTAGCTTAACATCAGCCTTGGTGAAAATGATATTCTGACAGATCAAAACTGAATCGTGGTTTGAGTAGGGTACATGCTGATAAGATAGAGGACACGGGACCTATGTCGAAGATGATCAAGTCGTTTCTAGTATAGCTGGCACTATAGAAAGAGTGAACAAACTCGTCTCTGTCCGAGCTCTCAAATCGAGGTATGTCCTACATCAACCTGAATAAGAGGGGGCTAATGGGGAAGATATACTCCCGAAGTTGGAGATTTGGTCGTTGGTCGGATAGTTGAAGTGGGGAGTTTGAGATGGAAGGTTGATGCTCATGCGAGACAAGATGCGATTTTGATGCTTTCCAGTGTTAACCTTCCTGGAGGGGTGCAGGTGAGTCAGATAACCTTTCTCTTCCATATTCGACCATTTCTTCAGAATGTGCCCAGCACGAGCATAACAGAGGCCGAGGGCTTCCTAATCAGCGTCAAGAGAGGGAAAAGGTGTAGAAGTCTTAGAGCTGATTCGTATAGAGAAGGAAGATAGAATCGGACGCTCTGAAAATGCGAGAATTCCTAGCGGAGGGTGATGTGAGTTTGATCTCCAAATAGAGAGACATTTCTGATATCTAGTTACTTGTGGCCGAAGTCCAAGCGTTCTTTCAAGATGGAGCCATGTCTTTACATACTCGGTCACTCCGATATGGCAAGGTGAGTAAAGGTTTCTGTATCTTTACTAAATTCCATCTCTGACACCCTCCCTCTGAGACGGTCCAGACTGAGCCATGATTCACAGGGGAAGTCCTCTGCAAACTTGGAAGAAATACTGAAAGTGTAGTTGCGAAACGGTCTATTACTCTCTGTCCAACCACGTCTCATCCGTCGGTTGAAATCTCACTTTCATCATCTCCCCCCACCTCTTGGACCAAGCGGAGTGGACGTCATTCTCGGATTAAACGGTTACATATGGGTAGCAGCTGGGACCACAGCCGAGCGTCGTGAAGGTGGCGAAGGTTTCGATGCTGAAGGTGTGTATAGTGATAAGAACGACGTGAGTGATGACCACCTTCCCATATCTATGTACTTAGGGATGATGATTCTGACTGAAAGGACATTCCGCCGGAAGGAAGAGAAGCTATCTCTCTCGTGGCTAATATGATCCAATTATTCGCTTTTCATAACATTCCCTTATCCGATACGCTCTTACATGATGGATCATCCTGGTTACAAAATGCTGGTCATGTAGGTGGATCAATATCGTCTGAGGTTGCTGCGAGAATGTTGGAAGAGGTAGTAGGGATAAGTATTGCTATCGTATGACGCAACGTGAGGCATGCATTTCTATCGTCCGACTTTTTGGTGGATAAAAGCGCAAAAGTGGCCCGTGCCTTAAAACCCCCACCAAGTTTGTGGTTGCACCATCGTATCATACTTACTTTTTCAACCTTTACATCTCCTTTCCTCCTCATTGGTCATTCGTCCTGCACTTCTTTCTTTCGATCCTTCCGAAGTTTGATCGTCGTCACGACTTGACGAACAGACGTGAATCATAATGTCATTGTCCATAGCATCGGTACCATGGGCACCGCAGTGGTTGCTTTCCCTTCCATCTCCTCTCTTGGTTCTCTTGGGCATAATAGGGTTTCCCACTTTGATCATCTTCCTCAACGTATTTCGACAATTGGTATGTCCACTCAAGTACCTAGAGATAGTGAAGAGAAGACTGAGAGGCTGATGAGACAGGTTTTACCTAGAGATAAAAATCTACCTCCGGTTGTTTTCCATTACATTCCATGGTTTGGTTCAGCGGCTTATTATGGTGAAGATCCTTACAAGTTTTACTTTGAATGTCGGGAGAAGGTAAGTCATGATCTTAGAACAGGTACCCTGCGTGTTTCACTTCTCCGCACACATACGTCCCCCCTGCTCCTCTACCAAGTTCCCCTCCGCTCTCTATGCTGCTACCCATTGTTTCGCTGTGGGAGCTCATTTGGCTTCGCATGCGTCACGTCGCGTCTTTCGAGCTGCTGGCCATCTAGAGATGCCGCAGGGAGATCTCGTGCTGATAATGCAGTATGGCGATGTGTTCACCTTCGTCCTTTTGGGAAGAAATATCACCGTCGCTCTCGGACCCAAAGGCAACAATCTTTCATTAGGCGGTAAGACCACTCAGGTTTCAGCTGAAGAAGCGTACAAAGTGAGCTTACTTGAAATCATACTTTCTATAGCTGACAAAATAGCATGTGACTACTCCGGTGTTTGGCAAGGGTGTGGTGTATGATTGCCCGAATGAGATGTTGATGCAGCAAAAGAAATTCGTAAGTTTAGACATTTGGTTCATCATTCCCAATACGCAATTACCATTAGAGACTGGTAGACCACGCAAAACAGACAGCTCATGATAGATTAAAAATGGACTCTCGACCGAAGCTCTGGCATCTTATCCCCCATTGATAAATGCGGAATGTGAACATTACTTCGAAAAAGAACTCGGATTTAGTCCTACCAGCCCAGGTCCCAAGACTATCGAGGTATTCAAGATCATGTCTCAACTCATCATCCTTTCTGCCTCACGCACGCTACAAGGCAAAGAAGTCCGCGAATCTCTTGATTCCAAATTCGCCGAATACTTCCACGATCTCGACGGAGGATTCACGCCACTCAATTTCATGTTTCCCAATTTGCCCTTGCCGAGTTACCGGAAAAGAGACAAAGCACAGAAGTCAATGAGTGATTTCTATCTCAACATCATGCAGAAACGTAGGGAAGGTGCGACTGATGTGAGTGGTCGTCTTACCATCTGTTCAACGCCGTGCGGTGATGACCCATATCCTCTCCGTCTGCCAGCCGCATACAGAAAGGCGCTGATGAGTAGGGAGATGGTAGCTTCGACATGCTCGCCGCACTTCAAGGCTGTGTGTATCGCAATGGTGTTCCTCTGACCGATCGTGATATCGCGCATATGATGATAGCTATCTTGATGGCTGGGCAACATACTTCTTCCGCTACCAGTTCATGGGCTTTACTCCATCTCGCCCATCGTCCAGATGTCGCGTAAGTCTCACTTTCTGTGCTAATCATTCTCTGTGCTCATGTACAGCGACGCATTATATGAGGAACAGAAGACCCTGTTCGGTAATCCTGATGGATCTTTCCGTCCTGTGGAATACGGCGATGAGAAAAGAATGACATTGATGAACTCTATCATCCGAGAAACCCTACGTATTGTATGTTCTCTCATGTTTCCATAGTATGATAGCTGACAACCTCATAGCATGCTCCTATTCAGTGAGTCGGAGCGTAGGATGGTAAATTGAAAACTCACAACTAGCTCCATTTACAGGAAAGTCATTTCACCAATGCCTGTCCCAGCTTCCTTATCGGCTCCCTCCGAATCCGCCACTTACATCATCCCCAAAAATTACTACATCGTCGCTGCTCCGGGCGTTTCAGCCATGGACCCGAGGATATGGAAGGATGCCAATGTCTGGGAACCTTTCAGGTGGTCGGATGAAAAGGGGACGGCTGCCATGGCGTTGAACGAGTATACCACTGGAGGTGAGAAGATGGATTATGGATTTGGACAGGTTAGCAAAGGTACAGAATCACCTTATCAGCCATTCGGAGCTGGACGACATCGGTGAGTGGGGTACTTTATGCTCTCCTTAACACCTGCGATATGCCCTTTTATCCCCTTGTACCGATACTCTGTCATCGCTTGCGTCTGACCATTTGCGCATGTCTAGATCATGTCTCTTGAAGCCAAGGAGCAGCCTGTCCTCAATGGGATGAGACGGATATTGAGTTGACGGCTGACACTCAGTTGCGTCGGCGAAGCATTCGCTTATGTCCAACTATCTGTCATTATAGCATATATCATCCGTAATTATTCTCTTAGACTTGAGACGCCGGATGGTTTGTTCCCTAAGACGAACTACCGAGTAAGTCTTTCACCCTTCAAGTACCTTCTTACATCACGGCATCCTCCTCGCCTCAATACCTCTATTCAAAGTTGCCGCACCTATCAAGAATGTCAACTGATAAACAGACGATGATTGTCCTTCCCCTGAACGGACTGATGTCCCTCACTAAGCGTAAACAAGAGGTATAGATCGTCGCTGGAGTGGGAATCGCTTTCAAGTATCTCAATAGACTTGGTATGTTAATGTGGACGATGCATAGGTCTCCTCACTCGTAGTTCTCTCATCTGCTTTGCTTTCTTATACACTTATCTCATCCCTGTTTTGTTGGCCCACGCTTCACCGTATTGTCCTGACCTATCAAGGCATGAAGAGGCTAGTTATGCAGTGATCCAGTGATGAGTGATGGGCGATTGTGAAAAGTGCCACATTCAACATCTTAGCAATCCCATCAGCTTGCGCGTCCTCTCTACCATCTCATCTCACCTCACCTCACCTCAATACCTCCATCCCTCATTGCATCATCCAACTCATACAAGATGTCAGAACCTACCTCAGAGGTCAAAACCGACGTTCCCAAAGTTGATCCACCAAAAGTGGTCACGCCTGAAGAAGGTCGGTCTTTCATTTCCATCCCCAAGATGATCACGGAAATACGAGTGGAATGATCCAACTTTCAAAGTGTCATGATGAAGGGAGAAGATCATGAACTGACGAGATAGAGGTTTTGATCAATATCACACTCATAGGTAGAGGTGTGAGCAGTATCGAACCTCGTTTGACCGCTCGGGTTTTGAGAACTTTGACACATACCAGAAGGAAGGTTGATAAGCATGTTATGAAAAGGGTTTTGCAAGGGGCTTTTCCTAGAGGATGTGAGTCAACTTTACCTTGACTCTGTTGTCTCTCATAATTGTCCATGATTTTCTTCATACCTATGCTCTGTTTATCTTCTTGTTAAGAGACCATTTCCTCTTCTTCCCTCTTATGTTCCTCTGTTCGAGAACATACACTGCTTTCCCCCTTCAACTCGATAGGCATTTCTCCCTCTCAACCTCATTGACTGTTCTCTCCTTACTCGTACACAGCCATTCAGCCTCTTCATTCCTACAAGTGGTTCAGAGTGAAAGTGGAAAGCTCAAAAAGACTCCTAGTATGGACCCCATACTGACTCCCAGCTAAAACGGGTCAATCCCTCATCGCCTCGGCTTACTTCGACGCCCTTCCTTCTCCTACCAAAGATACTGGAGAAATGGACCTTGACCCCGTCCCTTCCCTCTTAGCACCTCAACCAACACGACCATCATCCACCCTTACTGTTCCAGGTGTTGACAATTCGGTCTCTCCATCCACCGATATAACCAGGACAAACACCCCTAACCCTTTGACCCAACCTAAGAAGTACACCCCGCCTCTTGATCCTCAAACGGGGGATTTGATCCCAGAAGGTGTGGTGTATCTAAGACTGTTGTTGGTGCTCCTTAACCTGGATGCGGGACGGGTTGCAGAGGCGACCGAATTGGCTATGGAGACTGCGGAGTTTTGCGCGGCGAAAAATAGACGGACTATGGATCAATTGGCTGCGAGAATTTTCTTTTATCTAGGAAGGGGGTATGAGTTGCAAGGTAGATTGAAGGAATTACAATCGTGAGTTTATTTCCTCATTCTTCCGACACAATAATCCCTCAGATTTATCGTTCGTTACCATATTGCCATAGTTCAGAAGATGATAAGGAGATGGGAACCCTTGCGCAACGGTTGTCAGCTCTGGGGAAAGGATTGTGATGCAGACAAAGGGCGACTTCTGATTACAGACTTTTGCTCGCAACTCGTCAAACCGCTTCTTTGAGAAAGGATGAGACTTTGGAGGTGAGTAACTGATATCAATTCATCACCTCATGGATCTTCGCTTTTTTCTGCTGTCCTGTCATACATTACCCCCCCCCCCCTCCCTGTCTCCTGTCCGTAAGCATGCGGGTTCAACCACCGCCATCAGCCTCCTAGCGGTCGCACACCGCTCTACGCCTGTAGCATTCTAGCACAAGACTAATCCTAGTGCACGGTCATCAACATCCTTCTACGATCTTACCTCGCCAACGATCAATTCGATCAAGCCGACAAGCTCGTCGCCAAGACACCTTTCGATGGCAATGTCAACCAAGCCCAGAACGTCCGTTATCTATTCTACTGCGGACGTCTTCGGGCTATACAGTTGAATTATGCCGAGGCGGCTGAATATCTGACTGGGGCCATCAGGAGGGCACCGAAGGATGAAGTGGCTCCTGGTTTCGTGCAGACTGTGAGTTATTTCTTTCACCTCCTGTGCCTCCTAAATACCATGTCATACTCCTCCATCGGTCCCAGACTGAAGATGTGGTGCATCTTGAGACAAGATCATAAATTTGATTGAAAAGTCTTGTTTGAACGTGGTGCTGATTGCCAGATTCACAAGTTTTACATTGTGGTGGTGCTTCTCACCGGTGTCATCCCAGATCGTGCTTTGTTCCGTAAGCCAGTGCTCAAAGAAGCTCTTGCGCCGTACTTCCTCATTGTCCAAGGTGGGTGTCATTTCTCTCCCTCTGGTCTCAACACTCCTACTCGAGCCCACTCGCCTGTTCCGTGACACAAGCCCACATGAAGAAATTTAGTGATTCTTACATTCTCATCTTTCCCATAACGCCATGCCATACAGTACGTCCAGATGGCAACTAACGACCAGCCGTTCGAGTAGGGGATATGTCAGCTTTCCAGTCAGCTCTCCAAACTCATTCATCAACATTCACGACCGACGGTACTCTTTTCTTAATCCTCCGTCTTCGACACTTTGTCATCAAGACAGCTCTACGAACCATCACCTTGGCCTATTCCAGGATTTCTTTGCGTGACGTTTGTTTGAAATTGGGGCTGGAAAGTGAAGAAGATACAGAATACATCGTTGCTAAAGCTATCAAAGACGGTGTTATCGACGCTACCATCGATCATGTTCAAGGACATATGGAGAGTAAGGTGAAGAAAGATGTGTATGAAACTGAAGAACCTGCTAGAAAGTTTGATAGTAGGATTCGACTTTGTACGAATATGTATAATGAGAGTGTCCGGGTGAGTCCTCCTTTTCCCCCTCCCGTCCTCCTTATCTACATCTCTTGGAATTGGGTTCTCTGTTTTCAGTCCCTATTGTCATATCCTGAAATACGATTCTCTGCTTTGAGTCCATATCATCATGATATATTCATATGCTTCAGGTCGGTATTGTCATGATTTGTTTTACGTCTATAGACCATATTGTCATAAACGAAAGGGTTGTCTCTGTCGAAGTGCTAGATTGACCCACAGGCAATGCGCTTCCCACCCAACGCTCATCGGAAAGAACTCGACACTTCGGCTGACGCGAGAGAAAGGGATAGAGAGATCGCCCAGTACATTGCGGATTCAGAAGGGAATGATGACCTTGATGATTTGTAGAGTGAATGAGATGACATGTGAGATGCAAGTGAGGATAAAAAGTACTACTACTCTCCCACAAGTATCATTTTAAGATACTACCAATGTTCTTTGACTTGTCCTATTTCTTTCTCGAAGGATTCACAAGTCACCATGACCCCACAGTACCAGTGCTCTTCTCGGTACTCGATTAGTGGTGAGCATGTGAGGTAGGTACACTGAGAAATACAACATTGAATTAACCATACCAATGAAATATTAAGGTCTATGTATGTATCATCCAGCCCAACCACGACCAAAAGCCACACTATCTCTTTTCCCGGAATTTGGATCTTGAGCAGCTTTTACCCAACTTGCTTCTCTACTTTTTCTGCTTGCTATAGTTCCTGATACTTTAGAATTTGTATAGTGACCTAATCCGAACCAACTTTTATCCCTGATCGTATCTTCTTGTTGTCCTTCATCTTGCCTTTCTACTCTTGTCAATTGTCTAGACATATCTCTCTCCCTCTCCTCTCTTGTTAATTGTCTGGAAATTTCTCTCTCCCTCTCCTCTCGAGTTAATTGTCTAGAAATCTCCCTTTCCCTATCCCCTCGAGTTAATTGTCTAGAGATCTGCCTTTCCATATCCTCTCCATCTTCCCCCATTTTCATGCTTTTCCTAGTCATTTCTCTTCTCAAACTATTCGATCTTCCTACCAAAGGAATGGCAGTTTCCCCCGTTAAATAATTCCGACTGGTCCGACCTGGTTGTAAAGTAGTTGTACCCGTACGTTTTTGATTTAAAAAAGATTTGATACCTTCCGCTTTTACCACTGTCACTTTTCCTCTTTTATCAACTTCCATACGAGGATCTTTCCTTTCCCCTGGAAAATCTGTTGGTTCCACCGATGCAGAATGGATTGATTTAGAAGATGAGGGTATGAATGATTTAGAGGAAGGATCGACATATCCTGAATTGAATGATTTAGAGGAAAGATCGACAAACCCTGAATTGGATGATTTAGAGGGAAGATCCACATTATCGAGGAAATTTACATTATTGATTTGATCAGGAGTCAGAGAACGGGAAAAAGAATTTGGAGAAGGGGAAGGGGATTCGGATAATCCTGATGGGATACGTGACCATGAAGGACGGAGAGAATGTATTGTAGATCTACGTTGATTAGGATGATGAGAGAAAAGTAAAGTGGGATCTTTGGGTGTATCATCTTGTAATCTTACTTCCATAGGGAGGTTCTTACGGCTGTACGTTAGATACTGCTGTTACTTCTTCCTATTACAAGCCACTGAATAAGAAGGGTTCTCTTCGGTCCGCGGGGGATGTACATTGTCAGGGAACATCCGATAGAATGGCAACAATATTGTGTAGAATAGTGAAATGATATCAAGAACATGTATGGAAGACGATTATGTATGCTGAAAAGAAGGGAAATTCGTGAATGATTTTCAAAGTGAAGAAATGATTGATGATATGTGGACAAAAGGGACAACTCACCCAGCCATCCGTCGTCTTCTACACACTAAAAAGCCCACGAATAAGATACAAACACCAACAACGACACCAACGACGATACCAACTATAGAACCCGTTGATAATCCACCTCCCGATGCAGGTTTACCAGAAGATGTGTAAACTCGCAGAGAGTTTATAGACCAGTAAGCCGAGGTGAAAGCTTGAGGGTGATTCATGACGAATGATGAACATGTGGAAGGACATCCAGAAGTCGTGTACGTTCCTTCGGCGCTGAGATGTCAGTGAGAGTCACTCTTGATCTGGCTGCTACAAATTCCACTGAGCTGATCGTTCCGAAGAACTCTATCGATGGGTCGTTTTGAGAGTGAGACAAAATGTGAATGATATTGAGTTGAGATAAATTGCCTGAGTAATGTACCAAAAGAGAAGCATCGTGTGTTACAGGATCCGGTCAAAGCAGTAAAGGAGAGAAGAGCGATAGTGGCACCGAAATATCTAGGTGTCTGAGAGAGAAGAACCAGGAGGGTAACTCACTAATCTCCACAGAAAGCTAGGTTAAAAACGATAACATGATCGTTGAAATCACCTTTACACGTAGGGATTGATAAATTCGCACTGGGTTCACCCCACCCAGCTACGTTCGTACTGACCGTATTGACATTCTACTCTTTTCAGCTACATTCCAAAGAGAACCAGCTGTGGGAAAGAACTCACTTTGACATCATCAGGAACGTTTGTAGCGTTTCGAGGCCAGTAGTAGACGTATACACCGCCCGAACTACTTTATAAATCGTCTTCCTCTCAAGACCCTCTTGACCGCCCTCTAACATCAAATCGCCAAAGTGTTCCAAGATACGATAATCTTTTCGTTTGATACAGCACGGTGTTACAGGACATCTACCTTCACGAGATCTGAGAACATAAAATGAAACAAGAAGAGTGGTGAAGTGGGTTCAAATGGAGTATACTCACTTTTGCACGTCCCTCCACATAGCATACCATCCTCCACTTACTTCATTCACTCCATGACCAAAACTATCCACTCCATAAACATCTTGTCCTCCCAACTCGACTCCACACCCAGTGTTACCAGAGAGATCTGCCGCACATACCGATCTTCCCAATTCACCAGTTTGATAAGTCCCACTAGGCAAGACACAATTATCCGCAGTATGTAAAGAAGCTGTATTGCGTACTAAAGGTAAACCGGATGTGGTGGAATTTGTGATGGTTCCCGTTGCGTTCCATGCAGTGGAGTAAGGGCGAGGGAGGGCGTTGGTACCTTCCAAGATATCTATCTCTCCGCCGGATGGCCAACCTGTTTTGGTGGTGGTCCAGAATGCTGGCCACTGGGGGTGAGTTTGAGAGCTCTTCACGCTTTTCTGGATACTCTGTGTCTGACACGGGGCTGTACTGAAGAATAATCTCTGATGGACAATGATAAAAATGTCTCACAGATCGTGGAATGAAAGGCAGATCCGATAAAAGTTTGTATTCATGCAAGAAGAAGAAGAAGAAGAAGAAGAAGAAGAAGAAGAAGACGGATCTGGGGATATATTGACTCACGGTTCCACACCCCACAGGCATATGATTTACGTCCAAAATGTACACTCCCTGGATGTCAGTATACCATACAGTCCTCCAATCCCATTTTCATTCTGCCCCTAGTCCAGCTGGTCATGAACCACAAAACTCTCGAGCAAGTCGCCTGGTAGTTGAACACACTACCCGTCCGTATCTCCACGTATTTCGCTGTCCAACTATCCGTTTATCCACCAACACCACAACGAACCAATCGGTTGAACAAGCCATCTCCACCCGAAAATCTCAGCAACGACGAACAAACGAGAGAAGAAGTCATACATCCAAAAAAGAGAAGCACAAGTTTTGAAAAAAAAATTATGCTCACATCTCCAAATTTATCTTTACTACTTATCCTCACACTATTCCTACCTCTTCCAGAAGCCTGATTATCCGAATCTGCCCTCATCACGAATTCCCCTGAGGACTGTATGTCCACTAGAGATAAAGATTGAGCATCTGATTTTGATACATAACTATTATTTCAGCAAAAGATCTCATATCTGTCCCCCTCAACCAAAAACCGCAAAGGGATAAAGGGTCGAAGCTATGAAATGAACTTACTTTACGTATCCGCCAGTGGGATCATCGGCAGTTTCGAAATCTTGTTGATTAACATTGTCTTGTTTCTTTTCTTGATGATTTGGATACTTGAGGCACAAGATATCACAAGATGGCACATTTTCGTCGAAAGGCAGGTGAGCTGCGAAGAAGAGGAAGTGATTAGGAGGAAGAAGGGGGGGGGGGCAGGAAGAAGAGAGGGAGGGGAATAGGAGGAAGGTGTGAAAAGGGACTGAGAGGTAAGAGAGTTTGACATACCAAATCCATCCAAAAACGCCGAACCAGTATAAATCTTTGCTAATTTCAACGTTGTTGAAGAAGACATCATACTCCCCCCTGCAGTCGATTGTGCCATTGCGAGTAGTCCCGAGGTTGAAATAAGGATGAAAGATCTCAATACTATCGTATCGGTCTTTCAAAATATTCCTTCTTCCTCTTACTTGTCCTTACTGTCTCTTCTGTGTCCGTTGATCGCTCAGAGGTGTCCTGTATTTGATGGAGAAATAATGAGATACTATTCGATGGGTTGAGGTAAATCTTGATGATACCGATGTTACAAACTATAGACAAACACTAGAAACGGAAAAGAACTTGACTATTGCTTCAATGTTCAATGTTTAAATATCAACTTTCCTCACGACCACATCAGCTGCTCAGGACAGAGAAACGAACGATGAGTAGATAAGTAAAGTCAAAAGTCCATGTTTGAATCGCTCCTATGCTACAGTAGAGTAGGTTCCTGAGGACGGACAGGTTACAGGTGACTTACCCAGGGACAACTGTCAAGGGTTAGTTGGCAGAACAAAGAACATTGTACAACTCAAAAAGTTGAAATTCATCCTGGTTGGACGGATCGGGAAAAACCCAAAGATCAACATTCAGGGTTCACTTTCCCACGGTCGACACATTACCTTGCATACCATCGCTACTCGTACTTACTAGTACTGAATGTACCTATGCTATGTATGCCGACCAACATCACTGCTATACATATATGCACAACCTTACCTACCTTACCACGTCTTTGGACCTTCATATTCTGCGTAACACTTCATTAAATCCTCCACATCCTCTTTACTTCCTAAAAACACTGGACAACGACCATGAATGTCTTTCGGGGTCACATCCAAGATCCGTCGGGTTCCCGTAGTCGCCAATCCACCAGCTTGTTCAGTTAGGAAAGACATGGGAAAGGCTTCGTATAGCATCCGCAGCTTACCTAAGGGTCAGCGATCCCACTCTTTACCTCTTTGTCAGGGGTCTATATGGCAGAAGAGGGCGTCATCTGGTCGAGGGTCAGTGAACAACGCACCATCTTTACTCTTCTTATCATCTGGATACCCGAAAATACCTCCGTACAACAACGTTCGATGAACGTCGGCGACCATACTACCGATGTATCTCGCAGAGTAAGGTTTACCGTTGGCGGGGTATTTGATAGATTCGAGATATTTTAATGTTGGAGGGTTGAAGTGGAGCGAGTTGCCCTCGTTGAAAGAGTAGATTTTCCCCCTGGGAGGGATCTTGATGGCAGGGTGGGTCAGGATGAATTCACCGAGAGACTAAAGTGAGCAAAAGTCCAATCACGAGTTGGTACTCGAGAGGGCATCAGCAGCGATGAAGCATCGTTGGGAGGTGCATGCATTAGCCAATTGAATGGGAATTTATCCGACCTTGTGCAATAACTCACCTCATCCAATGTAAACCCGTCCACACCGTTCCCAGTGCTTAAAACCAAGTTACAAGATGACCCGTACCTTTTCAGTCAGCTCTGATCACAACTGCGCTCCCATGATGTGATTTCCTTGAATAACGCTCCACTCACATAGTATATCCAGCAGCAACCATATCCTTTCCCGGTCGCAGAACATCTTCGACCTTACCCTTTGATCCGGGAAGCTGAGGGTGAGCGACGAAACCTAACTACAAGTGTCGACATACCACTTTGTACACTCCAAAGATGGTACCGACGTTGACACCTGCATCGATATTACTAGATCCGTCAAGGGGGTCGAAGACGACGCAGCTGGGTGTTAGTCAAGTGTTCCACGCTCCGTCTCCCACGACCAAATTCTTGCTTGCGACGAAACCACAAGAACACCCGTCCAGCCAAATGGATGGCTAATCGACGAGAAGCTATAAAGTAGCCAGACCAGGGCAAACGCCAACTAGGGGAAGATGAAAGATGGATGGACTGGACAGAGAGGGGGGGAAGAGTCATGTAGGAAACTTGGTACATGTGAATGAACTCACTAAGTCCCCGAATCACCCTTGACAATAATAGCTTCCTCCACTTCCTCACTGACCATGACAGCCACCTTCCCACTTGCTCTAAGAGCATTTACCATTATATCATTTGACAAAACGTCCAACTTTTTCTGATCATCTCCGGTAGTATTGGTAGCTCCTGCCAGACCGACGAGATTGATTAATCTTGCTTTACGGACATTGGAAGCTATGTATTTGGATGTTACCTGTGGTGGTAATGTGTGATGTTTCATGTGACATATATCAATATAATGACATTGTGATGAATATTGTCGTTTGAGCATAGCCGAGTCGTATGATAGTCATTGCGGCCCATATCGGGGAGGGAACAGAAAGAGTGCGGGAGAAGGTAAATAAAAGGGTGTAGTACGTGTGATCCCAAGAGAAAGAAGCAAACAGTAATGAATCAAGTGCGATGATAGAAGAAAAAGAATTAAAACCAAAAAGATCATATCAGCAAATGTTAAGTCTTCTTTTGGAAGAAAAATGGAAAAACTCACTTGAATCCCAATGAGTAACATGGTAAGATCTCCAGTTGCCGTTTCACCAAGAGCATATTGTTGACTTAAAATATGTCTAGTGAGGGTGATAAGGTCCGTAGGGGGACTTTCGTATTCTTCTGTCATTTCTGAACTTTGAGCTTTGCAACTTAGGAAAAGCTGATTCAGATAAATCGATGGAGTGAAGTGTGAATGTGTATCCTAAATAGAAAAAAGTAAAGAGTTTAAGGACGGTTGGATATGAATTTATGAGAATGTGTGATGAGTTTTGTGGAAGATGGAATGGGAATGTGAAAATTGAGGAAGATGAACTAGAGTATTTATATTCCTTTGTAGACAGAGGTACGGGGTGATGACATATAACGATCAAAAGATCTATTACTCACTCACTAATCTAACTGTACGATGACTAAATGCTTTGTAATTCTTGTGATGATTCTTGTGATCTTTGTTAGACTGTGTTATGAACACGTGTGGAATGTGGAATAAATGTATGAGAAGAGTGAGAAATAAGTGAATGAATGCGGTAAGTATGTGAAGGAGGTCCGGTCCGTATTCAACCGGCCTTCCGTCGGCTCTTTTCGGATCTACTTGAACACTTCCATCCCTACTACTTAGGTATCAACGGACGAACCCCGTTCGTCGTGTGTAAAATACTGCGAGTAAGTACTCTACAGTACGAGTACGATACTCGTACTCGTCTGCTACCATGGATAGTCGTTAGTTGTGAAATATCAGTGAAGAGGTTAAGAGACATATGCTTCATATCATGAGATCTACTTCAATGCACATTTCACCTATGATGCTTATACCTTGATCAAACCTTTTACTCATCTTGGAACGCACTGGCATCTATCACATCGTCCACACGGAGGATCATCCGGACTACTTGTGTGGCCAATAGGAATTGTTGTCGTTTAGCTATCAAAGGGTCATAGACATGTTGAGTTTTCATGTCTGTCTCATGAGCCATTGTCTGACCGTTTACCCTTCACAGCAGACACAATTCAGTGTAGAAGATTCAGAGTAGTCACTTTTGATCACCATACCAAAGTGGAAGAAAAGGAGTAAACCGGCAGAGGAGTTTTACGCGTCAAGAAAGAGAGAGAATGGTGTCAAGTGAAGGATAAGCAATAGAGGAATCAACCCACCATTCTCATCCCTTCCCATACAATCAATACCCAATCTCGGATTCCCTTCCGTCACCTGTCGACTTTTCACATCCGCCAAAGTGTCTATCGGTGATAACCCAGAATTCTCAGCGAGGGCCAAAGGGATAGAGTCTAGAGCCGTGGCGAATGCTCTCATGGCGTATTGTTCAATGGTAGGGATCTCGTCGGCTTTCTTGGCGACAGCGATGGAGGCGGATATTTCAGCTGCTCCACCACCATAAACCACTCGGTTATCCCGGACGAGATTGCGGACGACGCAAAGTGCATCATGAAGGGCTCGTTTGGCTTCATCGATGATCTGAAATTAGAATGGTGATCCTGACTTGTTTCATCATCCCGCCTTAATCTTGACCTCTCGCCCATTCTGAACATCATGACGGTGAGAGGAAACCACATATGGTGTCGGTGATGAGGGTCAGGAGCACGATGATGATGAGAGAGGTAAATAGGCAGCAGACTCAACATCGACTTACCATTTTGTTACTTCCCCTCACGAACACCGTGACCGCTCGAGTATTCGCACATTCCTCAATGACCAACATCTTTTCTCGGGTCGTCCCAAACGTCATCTCTCTGACCAGACCTGCTCGACCAAGTTTCTCAGCTGTGAGATCTTCAAAACGTGGCACGATCCTTCCGTTCGTGGCGATAGCGATGAGCTCAATCTCTGGTCCTCCGACCCATCTGACGGCGGGGAGATCGTTTTGCATCAAAAGATGATTGGCCTCATCATCAAAGCCCCATTGGCAGATGACAAGGTTGGCTCCTGTATCTTTGACCCTGAAGTGTGAGCGACTAATATTGCGTATCTCACCTCGTTCCGTCCCGCCTCGATTCTTGTCATATAACGCAAGGTGTAGCATCAACACACTGAGATGGTGGAAGTCGGGAACCACGATGACTGACATGACTATGGTATGACTTGTCGGGGATGGGCAAGGAGTTTTGAGCCCACTCACATCTTTATCATCTCCAAAAATTTCTCCTTCTCATACTCCCTCAATTTCCGATACTCCTCCACACTCTCAATATCCAACTTATGTTTCGTCTTCGGCCTAGGGGGTTCGAAAGGACATGTCAGAATGGCAATCTTCGCGTCGCGCACTACGCTAGGCATTTGAGGATGAGACATGTCTTTGTCCACCACAACACCTTTGACCAAGGAAGTATCGTCGAGCGATCCGCCGACTTTACCATCCACCTTGATGAGCTCGAAATCGACATCACGACGGGTGAGGTCTGCGACGGAGAGAACGGCGTCTACTGCTATAGAGGCGAATTTGTCGTGGGCTATCGAGACACTGACCGTCAACATGAACGCTTTCCAAGTTATGTATAGCAGCTCATGATGATAACAAACCCGCAGTGTCTGGAGAAGGACTTGATGACATGGGAGGCGGTCAGACAGATATTTTTCTCAATGGTATACAACTGTGGCAATAGGGTATCGTGTTCCTCGGAGATGTGAACAAAGACATCTGGTTAGGAGAACTGGAGAATATTGATGATCGACGCACATTTTCGACCCCAGACTTGTCTTCGCAGTCTTGAGCAAATTGCTAGTGTCCTCTTTACTAAACTCGATTCTATCTGCCACTCTGTCCAGCTCTTCCACAGCTACAGCACACGCCTTTTCGTACCCATCTGCTATCCGGATAGGATGTATCCCGCGATCCAGGAGAGTCAGAGCGCTGGATAGGAGAGCACCAGCCAATACTGTTCTGTCAGCCGCGGTCTCACTTCCTCATCGTTTGTCCTTTGTACTTTGATCCTTCAATTTGGCAATGGACGTCCACCTGTCTGTACTTATGTTTTACTACAAGTGATTTCAGGGTGCAAATTCCATTCGAGCAGTCTAAATGAATATATACACGAGAGACGAATAAGATGGTAAAAGACAAAAGAACGTACCGACTACTCCAGTAGTACCATCCCCAATCTCGTCATCTTGAGATTTCGAGACCTTCTCATCAGCTTACTCTTGCAAATCCAAAAGCTTACCTCGACGAGCAATTTCGCAATTTGATGTTCCACTTCCATTTGTCCCAATATAGTGGCTCCATCATTAGTCACGGTAATATCTCCATCTGGCGAAATGAGGATTTTATCCAGACCTATCTCATCAATTTCAGTCGACCTCTGGATATATGTATCCCTCACCTCGAGGTCCCAGAGAAGTTTTGATGATATTCGTCACTGATCTAGCTGCGAGTATATGACTCTTTCTCATCAGCTCATGGTCACCATGACAATAAATGAAGTAAGAATAACATACCCTTATAGCTTCTAAACCATGTGTACGGACTTTCTTACTTTGTTCACTGGAAGTCAGATAGTCATGGATAGGAATGAAGAAAGCACGGACCGAACAATGATGAATGGTCTTCCGTTCTATGTGTCAATTCCCTTCTCTGTCCCGTTTCACTGATAAGGATGTGGACTCACTTCATCTTGAGCGTAAACGGCTTGACCGGGGTCTATTTGTCCTATCGACATGATGATTTTGATGTTGCTGTTGCCGTTGAGAGAGATGTAGAGGCGTCGCGGTGAGAGCGAAATTCAAGAGGGGATGTGAGAGATAGGCGTGCACAAAAAGTAAGGTCTGCGAGTGGCGCGCCTATTGATCTCCTCGCAAAGAACTTCGGTCCGAGATGTCAAAGATGTCGTTGACCAAAACTGCAAGGTAGAGACGTGGAGAGATGACCTCCAAGTCAATTTCAGCCGACGATAAGACAATGTCAGAGGGAGAGGAGAATGGTCCATATCAAATGAGGATAGCTTCTGGAGGGGATTTAAACAATTATGTCAAGTTTGCTCTTTCTTTTCTCAAGGTGAGTCTTGGGGGCTCTCCAACTTCACAAAGTCCATCTTTTGAGTCCTACTCGTTCTACCCCCGGAGCTATCGTATACTGTCTCTCATTTGCTACCTGGATCTCCGTACCTGCTCTTCGAGACGCTCCCACTCTGCTCAACACTCGTTCACGTTCCTTCCTCTGGGTAAATGCAGACGAGGCATCTACATAGCTGACATCAAGGAAACTCCTCAAAGACCACTCACCCTTCACACTCGTCCATTACCCATCACCGACGCGTCAAAACCCAAGCAGACAAAGACAACCATGACCTTACAAACCTGTACCACCTCAATTCCTAAGCTCATATCCGTAGTAGAACGAGTCAAGAGGGAGTACATAGTCTGGGCGAGGGAGACATCTAGGAAAGGATTGTGGCAATATACGATCACTGGATCAGAGAATCAGCAAGCGACGGTGGATCTAAATAGAGTGTTGGAGGGAAAGACAAAGTGAGTTTGTCTTGCATAGTCTTTACTTCTTTTCATCTGTACTTTCTATTGGAATCACAACACTTGCATTGGTTGTGATCTGGACTTTGGCGGACAAGTAATATGGGTCACTAGTGTGTGTCTGGATTGCCAGGACCGAGGGATCATATCGGAGGGGATTTGTGCAGGTGACGGAGAAATTGACGAGCAGACCAAAGATGTCACATCACCCTTGGCTTGAAATCACACTTTCTACCTCTCCCCTAGGGTTAGAAAAAGAATATGGGGTGACTTGTCAATATGTCCTTACTGGCCGTAAACGATCCAAAAAGGGTCGAAAAAATATGGATACTCCGCATGCTCCTACTGCGACGGCTGGACCCACTGTCATTGACACATCCACCGAGACGGAAGAAAAAGTAGTGGAAACTCCCTCCTCTGGTCAAAACCTCATCAATGACGGCAAGAAAAAACGCAAGTCCGAAGGATCTCAAACGCCCAAGGATGTGAAACGCAAGAAAACGTCTTGAATTCGGACGACATGCATGCAAGAGTGGTATGATCTATCAGATACAATGAAGATGCGACACGACTGTCGTACATCTGGAGGTGGAAGGCCCAGGCGACTGCGAACACTTTTTGTTGTTAGATATTGGAGAGGGCTTTGATTTGGAAATGGGTTCATGTGTAGTGACGAGCATGTCGAAGGGATCATGGGTCCAATAAACACCTGATATCGACGACATGTGGTAGAGGGAGGATATCCCCTAACGGACCAGGCAGCTGAAGCTCGCTTCCCTGTTCTTTCAGCGGGACTCCTTTCCTCTGCCATCTTTGCTTTGCGTCGATGGAGCAGGAGAGAAGCAAATCATCGATCATCGACCAATTCGAGAAGGATAACAAACGATAACTCACTTCTGGATCTTGTCTCGCCACCCAGGACGTACCAGGCATCTCTACCTCAAACTTTATCCACAAATCACCTTTACCGTCATTATACCTCATCGGCAGACCTTCGCCTTTGATCACCAACTCCTCTGATGGGCGAATCACTCTTTGTCCTCTAGGTGAAACCAACCGTATACCTCTTCCGTCCAGATGGACAAAAGCCACGCGAGAAAACCCAAGGAGAGCTTCGGAGAGAGAGAGGGGGAGGGTCATGGAGAGATCGTGTGGACGGCCGGAGGGGCGCGGTCGGAACAGAGGATGTGGTCGATGTCTGATTTGGAAAATCACATCTCCCGGAGGTATTTCTGACTGGCAAGTCAGCTCATCTTTCATCCACCAGTAATATCGGAATCGGAAGATGCGGATGATCTCACTTGACTGCAGGCTGGGGAGAGAAGAATGATCGACGGATTGGGGGGAAAGGGGGGCCAAACAAGATGAGAATGGAAGAATAGAAGGATGCATACCGCTTCATCGCCCTCCCCTCTTAGAGCTATTCTCTCTCCGTCCAAAGTTCCAGGTTTGATGTCAAACTCGACTTGTTTCTTCTCCTTTACAACTTTTGCACCTTTACACCTCTTGCATCTGTTCGTCAGCTATACTCTGTGTTTGAGCAGGACGCTGAACAACTGACCTTTCTCTGTCTCTCACTCTTTTACCTTCACCTTGACATGCCGTACACTCCTCTTTCATCCTTCCGACAAGATTGGGTCCGAGCTCCTGGTCAGCTCACTCGCAAGACTGATGAAGGGGCTCACGTGTCTTTGCACATATATAGAACCTTTACCTTCGCATGTCCCACATTTGACAGGGACGGCATTGGGCCGTGCACCGGAACTGTCCATCAGTCTTGTCCGTCTCTTTCATACCTCCCCCCATCTTGTCATTTTCCCTGTGATGAATGCCTTCATAGCATCATCATCCCCCTCTCATATGATCTCTTACAGTGATCAAGTGTCAGAGGAGGAAGTCAGAGAGAGATGGCGGAGTAGGATTTATGGGGATTTGAAACGGAGCTCATAGTGGGGAAGAGAAAAATAACTCACCCTCTACATCCACCACACAATCTATCCCGCTCCAACGACATTCTCACAGTCTTGCCTTTATACACCTCCTCTAAACTCACTTCATATCGTACATTCGTATCCTGCCCTCTACTCGGTTTCGATCGTCGAGATGGACCAGCGGAGTCGAAAGTGAAAGAAGCCCCGAACATGGAAGCGAAGAGATCGTCCATATCCGCTCCGTGTGAGCTGGAGGGACCGTCAGGACCATATTTGTCATATGATTCTCTCTAGTTCTGATTAGCATCATCTTTATTCAATATCTTCCGCCTTTTGCATCCATATCTCGGTGCTCGGCCACCAAAGCGGGACGAAGAAACTGACAATGACCATAAGGACAGCAGGATGATTATAGTCGTTGGTAGAATAGAGCAGGAAGGCAGATTCAGAATGCTAAAGGATGAGAAAGGCATGAATGAGGAGCACATGAATAAGGAAGACATGGACATACCAGATTAGGATCAGACAGAGTCTCATACCTGCCCTGTCAGCTGGAGCTTCAAGGAGAAAGACAAAACCCACGCCTGACCTATCTTCTGGAAAGTCTCATGGGCCAATGGATCATCCGGATTCTTGTCCTATATTGATCAGATAAATCTCCTCTTGGCAAGCTCTGCGACACATACAGGATGATGTTGCATAGCCTAACTTGTCAGCTCATACTCGGTACGAAGAAGAAGGAAAGCACTAACCTTCCGTTTGTAGGCACGTTTGATCTCGCCCTCATCGGCCGTGACATGAATCTCAAGTAGATCGTAGTAGGCTGTATCGGCCACCATGACGTTGACCGGAGCTAGCCTCTTATCAATTCAGTCGAGATGTTCTATCTACTTGGTGTATTGTAAGTAATGTGAAAGAGACAGAAGCGAAAAGTCAATTCAACGAATCTTTCATCGTCATTTTTCGGATCCGAAGTTTTCGATTTTGGCCCATTCCAGCTCAACTTTTCACTCTTTTCCCTTCCATTCTTCTCCTTCATATATCAAACAAAGGTCTCTCTTCCCTGTCGAGACCCACCCCTGTAAGTGGGTTGAAGATCTTAGGGAAACTTTATTCCGGAATCATGACCGCTCAATCGACTGACGTACCGCTGGCCAACATACGGGTCAGTTTTCCCCATCCCCGGTCATATGGAAGTTGACGTTGAAGAATGTGACCATTGTCGCTCATGTCGATCATGGCAAAACATCCTTTGCAGACTCACTCTTATCGTCTAACAATATCATATCAAATCGTATGGCTGGTAAATTGAGGTTTCTCGATTCTAGGGAAGACGAACAAGAGCGTGGCATCACCATGGAGAGTTCGGCCGTGTCTCTTCGATTCGACATGATGCGGACTGGACCAGATGGTATTGGTCAGCTTAATCTTTCTCGCATGAACCATGGAACATGCTGACTGGTAGCTTCTACTAGCAAACATGTGTGTAATGTGATTGATACCCCTGGACATGTAGACTTCGCATCGGAAGTATCTACCGCTTCGAGATTATGTGATGGGGCTTTGGTCCTTGTGGATGTGGTTGAAGGTGTTTGCACTCAGGTAAGATCACATAGACATTTCTCACTTCTTGGGACAATCGAGGCTCAGTTGACGTGTAGACTATTGCTGTTCTACGACAAGCTTGGATGGACAGACTACGACCTGTACTAGTTATCAACAAAATGGATCGTCTTATCACCGATCTCAAACTATCCCCCATTGAAGCATATCACCATCTATCTCGTCTCATCGAACAGGTTAACGCTGTCATGGGTTCTTTTTACGCTTCGGAGAGAATGGAAGACGATCTAAGATGGCGTGAAGAACGAGAAAAACGACTTGAAGCTCGTCAAACTTCTCAAAATGAGGTTGATATACATGAGCACGAAGATTTTGGACAGTATGAGGAAAAGGAAGACGTAGATTTATATTTCGCTCCTGATAGAGGAAACGTTTTGTTCGCTTCTGCCATCGATGGCTGGGCCTTCAGATTAGGGAAATTCGCACGATTGTACGCGGATAAATTGGGGATCAAAGAAACGAATTTGAGGAGAGTTCTTTGGGGAGATTGGTTTCTGGATCCCAAGACTAAAAGGGTGGTCGGGAGGAAGAAATTAGCGGGGAGAGCTTTGAAACCGATGTTCGTCCAGTTTGTCTTGGACAATATTTGGAAGGTGTATGAGACTATTCTAGGGGATTAGTGAGTTCAACGATTGAATGTCAGTCCGAATAAATATAGTTGCTGAGCGATTTAGTAATCCAGATGCTGTACAGAAAATTGTCACTGCTCTTTCGGTCAAAATCTCCCCTCGGGATCTGAAATCGAAAGATACGAGAAATCTACTCAACATCGTAATGCAACAATGGCTTCCCCTATCAACAGCGACCTTCCAAGCAATTGTCGAAGTTATTCCTGCCCCTCCGGAAGCTCAAGCCATTCGCGTACCATTTATGCTTCATCCCGCAAAAGCAGTTGCCTCTGCCACCCCTCTCCCTCCGACGAACGATACTGAACGAGCACTGTATTCCTGCGATCAAAGCGAGGCCTCGGAGGTAGTCACTTATGTGAGCAAGATGTTTGCTGTGCGAAGAGAAGACTTGCCCGAGTATAAGCCTCGTGAGCTCACTGCTGATGAGATGCGTCGACGGGGGAGGGAAGAGAGAGAGAAACGGGCAGCAGTATTAGCCAACCAGATTGAGACTGCAGACACTCTTCCAGGTATACCTCTCCCCGACAATCATGTGGAAGCCGTGCCAGAAGCCGACGAGGTACTCAAACCCCTCCAGGATCTCAATATTGGAATACCTTCAGGAAGCGTAACCAATGGCGAGACGATTGATCCAAGCTCTGAAGTTCTACTTGGGTTCTCTCGAGTTTTCTCAGGTACCATTCGACGGAACACAGCATTCCTAGCCACATTACCGAAATACGATCCGACATTACCCCCATCACATCCACGGAACATCCCTCATGTCGGCAAAATCCAAGTCACCGACCTGTACATTATGATGGGTAGAGACTTGGTGGCTGTCGATATCGTCCCAGCTGGTCATGTATGCGCTATTGGGGGACTCGAAGGTAAAATACCTCGTAATGCCACGCTCTGGGCACCGTCTGCGAAGGGTCTAGTGACTGTAGAGGAAGTAGGTCAGCAAAAGCTGATCAACTTGGCTGGGGTGATATTGCAATCAGCTCCTATAGTTCGTGTAGCATTAGAACCTGATAATCCGGCAGATATGGCGAAGTTGGTTCGGGGTTTGAAGATCCTCAGTCAGGCTGACCCTTGTGCGGAATATCTCGTTCAGGAAACAGGAGAACATGTCATACTGACTGCTGGTGAACTGCATCTTGAGGTGAGTCTTTTCCCCATTCAGATGATGATTTATTGATAATTTATAGCGATGTTTGAAAGATTTACGAGAACGATTTGCCAAATGTGCTATACAACCATCAGCTCCAATCGTACCATTCCGTGAAACAGCCGTCCGAGCTCCAGGTCAGTTCAATCCAAATGGTGAAAGGCTAGAATATAGTAGCTGATTGGTAGATATGTCTCCACCCAAAACTCCAGGTGCACAAAGGGGTACCATCCATGGATCTTTACTTAATGGTTTGGTAACATTCACCATACGTGCTATCCCTCTTCCTTCCTCCATCACCGAATTTCTATCACTGAACGGTACGACGATAGGTTCTATGATTGTCCAACATCGCCCTCATTCGGAAGATTCTTCTGATTCCTCCGACCTCGCGACTGACGAGAGGACGGAAGGATCTCGTGTGATCTCTTCCTCAGAATTTTGGTCTACTTTTTCTACTTTGCTGGATGAGGCAGGTTCGGAGTGGCAAGGCGCAAGTGATAGGATATGGTCTTTTGGTCCTAAACGTATCGGGGCGAATATATTATTGGACCCTCCTGGAAAACCGACAACGAGTCGATTGCGTAGTAGAGAGAACCGTGCTGCTCTGGCACGAGAACAAGGGAAAACGATGGAAGAAGCGATCGCTTCGGCTGATATCGCTTCGGATAGGGAAGACACGGAAGCGGTGAATGAAGATTCGGAAGTGAGAGCGGAGATGAGGCTGTTAAGGGATTTTGAAGGGAGTGTGGAGACAGGTTTTCAGATGGCTAGTTTTGCAGGACCATTATGTGGGGAGCCGGTAGTAGGAATGGCTTGGGTGGTGGAAAGTGTCGAGTATAATAGGGAGACAGAATCAGATGCTGGTGAGTTGTCTCTCGTGTCCTCTGTCCTTATCGACCATCCTTGCCTTACCTGTAGCAAAAGCCAGTTGGTGTGATGGCTCACAGAACCACGATCTTTGTTGAAAAAGTCACAAAGAGTCGGTGATCCTGATAGAGGAAAAGGTCAAGTGTGTCGCGCGTCTGCTGACACTTGAGGCAAATCGAGAGCGTCAACCCTAGTCGGCGCACTCATTTCCTCTGTACGTGACGCATGTCGAGCAGGCATGTTAGATTGGTCTCCTCGGATCAAATTAGCAATGTATACATGTGACATTCAAGCTTCGAGTGAGTCGTGCCCCCTATCTCAGCTGCTCGTAGACGTGGGGGGATCAGCTGATCAGGAAGCCGACGTACTTGGTAAAGTATACGCTGTTGTTGCTCGTCGTAGAGGTCGGATAGTTTCGGAAGAAATGAAAGAAGGAACTTCGTTCTTTACTATAAGAGCAATGTTACCTGTTGTGGAGAGTTTTGGATTTGCCGATGGTGAGTTATTCTTGATATTCTCTCAGTCAACGTCCTTCATCTATTGTTCCCACTTCTCCGGCCCTTCCCCACCTCTCTTTCTCCCCTTCTTTTCACCCTCTGCGGGAGTACACATCAGCAAGAGAAGGATAACGTCATCTATTTTGTTCATCACATTGAGTCTGCGTAATAACTCGAACACATTTCTTGACGCAATTGGAAAGACAGATCAAGTGGTGGTATTTGGAATACGATGTTGATGATTAGAAATCCGCAAAAGGACATCTGGCGCAGCTTCCCCACAACTCATTTTCTCAGGGTACGAAACACTCGATCAAGATCCTTTTTGGGTCCCATCGACTATTGAAGAATTAGAAGATTTAGGTGAAAAAGCAGATCGAGCCAATGTCGCTAAAGGATATGTTGATAGTGTCAGGAAGAGAAAAGGTATGTTTGTAGAGAAGAAAATTGTGGAAAGTGCGGAGAAACAACGTACTTTGAAAAGATGAGAAAAGTAAATTTCGATGATTCGATCTTGTCATCAACCACCGGCGGCCGGCGCGTACGGAGGTTGACCTGACCATGTAGGTGTAGAGACTTGGAAATACTAGTCGGAGCTGTTCGGACAAGGTGAAGAAGTGATAAGGGATAAGAAAAGGACTTGTACATACTTCATACTTGATACTTCACGTTGCATACTGCATACTGCATACTTCATACTTCTTACTTGATCTCTTGAACGATCCCGATGGGCGTGAACGATTATCAATAGTCACACCATTGATATTTGTATTTTCTTCATTGATTCCATACGCCCTCGGCGCACGTACCAGGTTTGTAGTAGGTAGTTAAGGTATCCTGTGATCTTGGGTTTCTTGAGATTCTCCCGAAAGACAAAATGCCGAAAAATCAACAGTCTCACTTTCCTACCTGTCCCCTTTGAGTTGACGTACCATAAACATCTTCAGGGCGTCAGTCAATCCAAATTGACTCCATGGTGGAGGGATTGATTCATCAGTAAATACTCACTCTCATGATTGGGTTGTCTATCAATCAATCATCTACTCTACAGTTTCAGATGACTTGAAAAACAGCCATACTTTCATATACATACTCGTATCGTCACTCACGATGATTTCTTTCGAGTGAACGATAGTTGGCATCAAATCGAATTTAACCATTTCAGAAATAGAAACGATCATCTACGTACGTATGTATATTTCCTCCACATTCACGTGTTTATGTTGCATGTTGCGGAGATGCGGAGATGCGGGGCCTATGTTAAAAAACATACTGTATTATTCATCTGCCAATCTGTGAATATGCGCCCGATTTTGACGCCCTAGGAATTGGGATTGGGAAACGGGAAGATGTGCTGGTGAGAGCCGATGACCGGGGATCGGGGAGTTGGGAGTAGAGATGAGAAGAGAGGAAGGTTTGGACCTGATCTTCAGGGCGTAAGTCGTGATTTTCTGAACGGTAGACGATTGAGTGTTTCGGATAAGATGAATTTGAAGTATGTACCGGAAACGGCGTCTTTGGGGAAATTAAAGTTGGTATTTGGGAAACGTACTCTACCTCTTACTTGGGAAGAAATTAAGATACGAGGTGGAAGGGCGAAGGAGAAAAGACCGAAGGACGGAGAGAGAGAGGAAATGGGCGAAGGAAAGGAAAGGATAAGGGAGAAGTAAAAACAGATAGGTGTCAAGTGCAAGTGATGCGGCATATGATACACGAGTTAGCGATCAGCGGCAATGGGGAAAAACCGAAAACCGACAAAGACGACGACGATCTCCGCGTTTTCGGGAGAAAGAAGAAAAATCCAAAGAATTTGAGGGACCTGAAGATCTTACAATTCGTCCGAAATGTCAAACTACTTCGGATATTGAAACTCCATATCCTCCTCACACCGAATGCCTGACTCACAAGATTGGGATTATAGTAACATCTTGTATGGCGGCATGAGAAGCGAGTGCGAGTACTCACAGTGTAAGACACATTATTCTTGACCGCGTGAATTATTCACCGGTTCCCCAGGTCTTTTAAGGAACCAGGAACTACTACTTGTGGTAAGAAAACTCTCCTTTTTACTATCAGGCACATGAAATTGAAATAAACCCTGAAATTGTACCTCAAACCTTTTACCCTTAACTCGGGGCGGACACGGAGACGAGATTCGAATCTGATTCTCTTTCCGGCCAGAGCAGGTACGACTTAGAAGTTTAGAAGGGTACGAGCCAGAGCGAGGGGGGAAATTGATAAAGTGGAGACAGAGAGAGAGAGGGAGTACCAGTCAAGAGTAGAAGTAATTCCTATCGATTCAAGCGTTCTGGCCAGACAGTGGACAATCCCTTGGCCCTTTCGGATACTAGTAAACGGTAAACGGGATACGGATGGTGAGAGCAGAGAAGGGGACATCACCATAACATCTCATTCGCATATTCATCTCTTCCTTCCTGTCTCCCAACTCTTCTTCGCTCTTCGAAAGTATCACTCGTACAAGTTTGGACAGATCGAACCTTTGGGGTGTTTTTGGTCCCAGCATCAAAAGAGATAGTAGGAAAGGAGTCGAGATTGAAGGAAGGACAAAACAAGGAGAGGTACACCGATACAAAGTCCCAAGTGGAGATAGTGGGACAAGTGCCGATACTAAAACTACCTCAAACATCGGACGATCAACATCATCATCAACATCAATAAGCTTGTCAATTGGACTCGCGATCAAGTTGTCATCCATCAATCGCTCTCAAACGGTAACCGCGGTCTAAACGACACACGAGCCTTTAACCAACCGGCGGAAGGGAGGAAGGGAGGAAGGAAAGAAGGAAAGAAGGGAAGAAGGAAATATCTATCACAAATCGAACCTCGGTCGTTCGGTCGTTCAGTCGGAGTGAATCTTTCCTTTTAGATCACAATCAACAAAAAAATAAACCTTGGTTACGCTACATCAAACGGAAGGCTACCGAATCAAAAAAGAGAAAGAAAAAGAGTTTTGAAACCTCGGCGGTTGTCCCTCCTCCCTTGGTTCGAAAAATCATAACCTCCTTTCCCTTTTCCTCTTTTGGAGCTTCCGGTCGACGGGTAATTTAACAGGTTAGTGATCAAATGATCATCTTTTTTTTTTCTGCTTCTTCTCCTCGGAGTTTCGTTATGCGACAACGACGGAATCATCTCCTTGTCCTTCCTTTGCACCACTTCGCTCAGTATCCGAGTACTTAGGACCTTAGTACCTAACCTTGAGATTTTGTAAAATCCTCGCTAAAGATCATTTCTCATTTTGGTTTTCTCAAATCAGCTTTTAAAACTACCTCATATCTCACAATATCCACTCTATCTCTCCTCCTCATGTTCCACATCAATCTCTCGATCTTACCCCTGCTTCGAAATGACATCGCTCACTCATTATAGACATCGTCAACTGTGTTTCACCGCCTTACCATCTTCGACCAACGCCTCAATCACACCTGATTCATATTTCGATATCAACCCCATTACATCTGTCCGAGAGTACGCCCTCCTCATCCCCGCCCTAGGGACCGTTGCACGGCACCGAACCGAAAGTTTGACTGTAGAAGATATGGATACGCAATACCCATATGACAGAGAGAGGGAGAGAGATCGGCGAGAAGATGTGAGTTTTGTCTCTTGTTCTCTCTCTCTCTGTGTTTCTTTTTCCTTCTCAGTATGTCGGTCGTTGCTCTTTGAATCGTCGAATCGTTGGATCGCTGTATGATGGTCTGTCAGTCAAGTTTGATCAACCTTTCTTTTCACTTTCATCTACCAAAGGAAGTGTCATAGTGTACGCCCCCAATCTGGACACCTGATACGCCATCCCATATTCCGTATTCCCTCCGTCCCAAAGCTGTGCCCCCATGGCCCATGGGCTCGCATCCCCCCCCCCCCTTCGTCATAATCTTGATCAATCAAACACGAGCCTCTTTGACTTTAATTGTTCCTCTTCATCGGTTCACAACCATCATGTTGTCATGCTTGCTTGGCATCTGACCTCCTGTCCTGCCCCCTCCGAGCACCCCTGCATCCCCACTCGCCGCCCCAACCGGAGGAGTGAACCTCATCCCCCCCCCTTTGAGGGCGCCGATAGAGGTATGACTCGTTACTCCGGGATCCGGCAGAAGCTCCGACTGTCGGATCGTCCTTGCTCTTCGTGATTCTTCAAAAAAAGAAGGATAAAAAAAAGAACGACGTCATGGAGTTCAGGAGATCAGGAGGTATTGACGACTCCCTTCTCATCCAAATGTCATCATTCTTTTCCCACCTTTGTCATGCTTGCTCAAATTCCCACTTTCAGTCGGAATGCAAGTATGTAACATGTCTCGTGAATCTTGCAGCGAGGGTATCAAACACTCGTTACTGCTTT